GCACCTCGGTTAATTAATGAAGCAGGAATGCCCCAATGACGAGAGCATATTGGTGCTGGTGCTCACAGTTAATTTAACATGACATGTGTCATTTGTACAGGACAAGTTCTGGACAATCTACAAAGAACTTCTTCTGAGGAGTCTCATTTCATTCACTAAGTATTCAAAAAACCAGCATCGTTACCAAATGTGCAAAGCAGCACCTTCCATCTGCACGTGTATGATTATTCCTGTGGTAGTAAGACAACAAGGAACAATGACAAAATGTCATTGTTGAGAATCAGAGATAGAACTAATAGCACCGTGTGCGTATTTGCACGCACAGAGATATACCAATGTATGCATGCAGTGCTAGAAGTTCACTGCTTTGTGCTTTCTTCTGAGACTTAAACCAACGGCGAAGGTCAGGACAGGTTACTAGGTTTGCATGCGTGTTCTTAAGCACACACATGAGCGTGTATTTACAATACAGCTAACTGCAGTATTTGCAACACAAATGAAGCTTTTTCTTTCTGCCTACCTCTTACAATTTGCTTTCATGTAATCCTATATAACCAATGTAATCAAATAATTCATATAAACAATAACCCTAAACCACGATCTAATTCCCTAGCATCACTGGGACACACTGATTAATACGTAGATTACAGACTAAGACAAGTCAGAAACTATTTCAAATTCACATTTTACCTGATGACATGCTGAGCTCTTAAAATATTCTGCATGGAGAATACATACATACAGGTCATATCCAGACATGTAAAACAGAACAGCAGTTTAAAGCACTCTGTGTACTAACGTGAGGCCACAAGATAGATTAGATAAATACATTTTGTGTAATTACTCTTTTTCCTTTTAGATTGGTAGGATCTATCCAAGAAATCAAATTTTGTTTTATGAGCAATGTTGCATGCTTTTGTACTGAGACTATAGGTACATTTACTGTACTGCTGGGAAATAAGGCAAGAAACAACACAGAACTGTAAGAAACCAGCAGTTTTCTCTCAGTATTTTATCTCTATAGCATTGAACAACCTTTAACATTCATCTAACAATCTTTAAACTTCTACATTCAATAAAATACTGTGTAATGCAACACCATTTAACCCCCTTATTCAGAATGAATAATAATTGTCAGAGTTTTAACATCATCATACAATGTAAAGCTATTCTAAGTATTTTGAGAAATGTTTTGAAGGATGACAGTTAATAATGCCAGATTCATTAATAAGCAACGAGTGATGTCTTTTATGCAATCCTTATCTCCACCTCTCTCAAATATGTGATTCAATGTATGGGTTAAAGAACCAGACAAAAGCTCAGTTTAAAGAGGATGCCAAAGGAAGAAAAAAGAGGGATATGTTTATTTCAGCGGTTTCAGACCTCTGTTAACTCAAACACAGACTAAAAACCTACACCTTGCGTAAATTCCCCACTCCTCCTCTCCAGATTTGCCAAACTCTCAGTGAGGGCAAGTACTTACAGCCACTTAGGCCTTAGGTTTCAAGCCAGTGCCAGTGTTGTACATCACCTATGTTGTAGTGTCTACTCGGTTACCAGTGGTAACTAGGAGGCTCAGTTATTCTAGAACAAGAAATATGACTCAACAGAAGCAGCCCTAGCTCCAGAGCACTCCTGCTAAAACCACACAACCTAATCATGCATGGCATGAGCATTGCAGCATGAGGCAGGCATGTTAACGGTGAATTGGTAGAGTCAGGTTAACCATTTCCCAGACTCTGGTGCTTTGTGCTCACCAGAATTAACTGCAGGTGTACGCGATCTAGTAGTGAAATCTCCAACCATCTCTTCCCACAGAAATGAACGGGAACACACCACTAACGAGCATTTGTTCAATACTAATTAGCTTCCAGCTAACAAGTCAAAAATAAATGTGGGATTTTTGTATCTTTCAAAGTTTTGATTTAACTTTTAAGGCTAAAAGGCTCTGTCTTCAAAGGAGAACTTACTTGGCCAATTAAAATATTTTAGCCAACTATGATTTTTAAACAGAAACACTAGCCAGACATGCAGCTTGCTTAGATTTAGTGTGTTCAGGCACAGTTGATTGAAACAGCTAGATGTCAATTACCTGCCTTAACTGCACACAGATAAGACAGTCAATTAGCACCCAGAAAAGATGTAAACAGCATAAAAAGTCACTCAAACGAGCTGTAGCCTTCTGCTGCACTTTTCAGGATGAGCCAGTTAATCAAAACAGCTCCACACCTGAGGCTTGTTTATCTCTGAACAGCTAAAGTCAGATTCTCAGCCATTTGAGCATCCCACACAAGACCATTAGCATCCAGGTGATTCAAGTCCAGCTCCTCAGGAGACTAATGACCTTACCTAGACTTGTGAGGTTCTGTCTGACCTCTTAACGGGTGGAGAGGTGGGGTAGGTATGAGAGCCTCAATATTTCCTGATATGGGGATGTACAGCTATTACTATGCCTCTTAACTGCAAGGACAGAGGGAAGGCGTACATTTAAGGGGTTTAACACCTATCCTGATCAACCTATTTTAACAGCTGTGTAAAGTCTTGTATGTGCTGAATAAGGGTAGTTTGTTCACCTAGCTTCACTTCTTACTTAGGTCTTCTTAACGAGACATGAAGTCTGCACACCACTGATCTAGTTTTCAATCCACGGGTGCTCACAGTCAGGCTATTAATACACTCACTTCACACTGAGGATCCAAACTCAACTGCTTGTATGTTCATTGTCTCCTAACCCATCGCCACAACATCCCCAAGTTCCCAGGACACTCTGGAAAACCAGCATGGTTCTGCCAGCTGCATGACAAAGAACAATTAGCTAGGTGCAAAGCACCATAGTTAATTACACAGGCCACAGAGCACCCATGAAGTACTGAAAATGTACCCCAGTGTGATTTCTTGTGTTTGAGATCACCATGTCCCCAAAGAAGATCCAAATCATGAAGACCATCACAAAAATATTTACGTGGCTTGAGCAGTTACTCTTAAGAGCTACTCACTTAAGGTTTCTCACACTATTGAAAGTGTTGCCACAGGTCCTATACTGTCCCCAAAAGAGATGTTCATGGGGTCATTGTGTTTTGAGATCCATATGACCTCAGCTGCATTTCTGACACTGTGAAAGATTACTTGCTGACAGGTTGCCCGGGACCTCACACATCCAAAGCCTGTCCTAAGAAGTGCTGCACTGTGAACATTTGTAGAAAGAGCACGCTACACAGAGACCCTGAAAGCCCCATTCAGACTCAGGAACATCATCCTTACTGAGTGTAGACAGCATATATACGTATTTTTCTGTCCTGTTCATTCCTCCTTTATCTGCAACCCTTCAGGATTTGCATTTTAAAATCAAGTACATACACCAGGCTTATTTTCCCCAGTACTAAAGTACTAAGTCTGAGCAACTAAGAGCCTCCTCCACCCAAGTGTTGTGATCCTCTCAAAGGAGAAAAAAAAAAAAAAAAAAAGCGAGCAACAAAGTCTTGGTCAAATTAATTTCCTTATTTCCTTACACTGCAGCTCTTCCCTTCTTTCCTCCAAAGGGCCACATGCAGGTTTAGGGATCCTTCTTGGCGCACTAGATCGTAACTGCAGACAGGCACAGTCCCAAGTCATCACAACGAGCAGTTGCCTTCAGAAGTCTAGGGCCTCAGGCTATGTCTAGGATTTTACAGAAAGGTAGCCAACACCCATTACCTATCACTTTAAAAACCTCACACGCCTTTTTCAGCAGTGAACATGTAACCCCTTTCTTGAGTCATTAAGCCTCCTTTGCAGGGCTCCACCCAGGTGAAAACAGCAGCTCACTAATATCACCTGCAAGATAGAAGCACCAGCCCCTATTAGTACAAATTTGTTCTTTAAGGCTGGGCCTCTCAAGCAGGCACTGAATTTTCTCAGTTGAGTCCTTTGTACATAAATGCTCAGAAAATAAAATCATATTAATAGCTTGTTTAGATTCTCAACTGATGAAGTTGTGCCATCGTGCTGCAAATTTGACTGGTCACACTCAGAATTTTTCCTAACGTCTATAATATTTAACCAGAGGCAGAATATTCTTTCAAAATGTGAAAATTATGGGTAACAATAATATGACCATTAAATGGTACAGCAGTTAAGATTAATAAAATAATCACAGCAGAAAAAAAAAAAAAGAGAATACAATACCAACTGAGGTACACAGCTAGTAACTTGGAATTTCCCAGGGCCTCCAGCACATATTCAGAGCAGGTACAGCACAAACAGCAGTGAAAGCTTTTCCAAATTCAATATACAGTGTTTAATTGTGGCCTGTCATAAAATCTTACTATTTTAAAATTAGTCTGCATCCCTTCAGTCTTTGTGCAGCACAAGGTAACATATGAATAGGTTTTTCTATACTATTATATCCAACAAATAATATCCACATTTATATTCTGGTAAAAAGACATGGAAAATCTGAGATCTCAGAAGGTGTTTATTTTCTACATAAGAATGGCAACTCTGCATCTTCAGCAAGAACTTCGTTTTTTCCAAGTATTAAGCTTTCAAGAGGTCTGTCTTCTGAGCCTTTTTTTCCCCAACACTCACCTTCACCTTCTATTGGCGTCACTTTGTTAGTTCCCAGACCACAACAAGTACTCCAAGTTAGATACTTATTAAGAAGAAAACTAATCATATAATCTGTTATACCAAGTAATATTTACTGTAATAATGACTTCATTATGATCACATTTTTTTTGTGCTTCTGCAAGCACCATTTAACCTTGTCTGATAAGGACAGAGATAACTTTTAAAATAATGTTCCTGAAATATAGTAATTCTTTTAAAAACTTTTTTTTTAAGAAAACAAACAAACAACTGTAGATACTAACCAAATACCTGGCTGACCCATTAAATTGTTTTGTTTAGACTAGACTACACTAAACAGAAAGCGTGCAGAGAGAGGTACTTGGAATTTTTTTCATTTTAAATTAACATTTTGCCCATGAGAAATATCAGGTATCAAGTGCAGGTCTGTTTTCGGCTTTGTTTTCATTGCTTTATTAGATGATTTTCATACAAACAGTAACACTGTAGACAAAAAAGCTTAAGAGGAGATAGTCATTCTAGTATTTAGATAGACAAGTTCAGCTAGGAGAGGTCACCCTTGCTTGGGGTGCATCGCAGTAAGCCTACTGCTTTGTTCTTGATATGCAACAGTTGGTGGTAAAAGCAGGTTTGTTATCCCACACGCAGAAAAAAAAAATCCCCAAACCACATTTTTTTGGTCAGCCATACCCACGTTACTTGCTATACTTCTTCCAGATAAGCAAAAACTGATTACATAAATTGCAAAATTGCACCCAGTTTCAAATTTCAGGAAAGAAGGATCTGTTTTCTCCCATGCCCCAAGTTCTTGAACTAGACTGAGACTGTTAACAACCATGTCATTTGTCACGCTGATTATGATATGCTCACTTGTGTCATACTAAAGATAAGAGCCAGAGCCCTGCCTCCTACCCCCCACCATAGACAAGAAGGTAAAGCAGGCACAAGATGCATCTGTGGTGGACAAAAATGCTAATTTCTACATAAACTGTGGAATTACATGCCTGCGGTCTGTTCCTAGTCACACTTTCATTTTAAGTTAAAACCTGAAAGTGAACACTGTTACTCCAAGCAAGATTAAATCTATAATTCACTTTTAATTTTACACAGTGGCCTGACTTCAAATTGTACGCTTTCATGTTAAAGCAAGCTTCGTAAACCACTCCCCCGAGTATCTGTGCAGCTTTCAGTCTCAAAGCAGAAGTGATTATGCCATTTATGAAGTTTCTGCATTGTCTTATAACATTACTGCATGTACTTAAGTTGCCTCTGTAGTAATCATGGATAATACTCTACTTCCATATGCTTACATACTGAGGCACAGATGTGGGGGAGGCCTACGTGGAAATAAGGGAGCAAGGGCTGGCACATGAGGAGTTGTAGGAGGCCCCAGAGAAAGACAGCACTAAAACCTCCAACAGGAGCAGCATTCCTCTTCACTGGTGTCTGAAAATCTCAGTGGCAAGCAGGCATCACTGGAGCAGCTGATCTTCATCAAGAATGGTAACTACTGCCTGTTACCTCAAGTCTGTACTAAAATCCATGCAGAGAACCCATAGGTTGGAGACCTGACGCCATACCAGACAGGAATCAGTGTGATTCCACATGTGGGATTCCTGAGCTTTGCCTCCTGTTTGATCTTTGACAAGCACAAAAGCGCACACATAAAAGAGTGTAAAGCACATCCAAGTTGCAGAGTCTATTACAGAGAAGTTCTGAAATGTTAGGATTGTCTTCGCAACTTTGATTTACCCCTTTTTCCCCCCTTTCAGAATGGCAAAAAGTGAGCTCTAGTTATGGGAGCACAGCTGGCTGGCATAATTTAGATTTCCAAAGTTTTTGAAAAGGTTCCATGCAAGGAGCTACCAGACAAAGAACAAGCTAGGGGAAAAGGCAAACAATTGTCACGAATGAAAATCTGGTTAGAGAAAGAGAAACACAGTGCAAGGATAATTTTTATTATGACAAAAGGTTAACAGTAGGGTGCGTCCAGGTCCTGTACTCTGTTTTAATATATTAACTCAGCCCAGTGAGAGACAAAAAAAACAGGACAGGTAAAGAAGAGTGAGGTACTGAAGTCTGCAGCTATCAAAAGTGTATTTGGGAAGAGGGAAACTTGTCACAACTACAGTGTGACTCCTGTTGCATGAATGAATAATGCAATAACAGAAGCTCAACACCAAGACGAATATAAAACCTGCAGATAAGAGTAACTTCAAACAAGCTATACGTTCTCCAAAATTGTTAGAGCCCTCTGCTCAGTATGTAGCAGCAGCCAAAAATAACGCCTAACATGCTAGATTCCAGAAGAAATAGGTCAGGGAGTAATATCAAATACACATATATATTGTAATCAGAAGCATAACCTCGCTTAGAATACTGCGTGCAGCCTAAGTCACCTCTACTGAAAAATGGAATACTGCAGGACCAAATAGACTTGGGAAAGAACCAAGACAACAATCAAAAGCTGGGAGCAATTCTCATAGGAAAAGAGATTGTGAAAACTGATTTATTTATCTTCGAAAGCAGACGTGATGCTTTTCACATAGAATAACAAATGGTAAGAGCAGGTAAAAAACAGGAACTTTGTTTTCCTTGTCTCAAAGCACAAGAGGATATTCAATGAAATAAATAGATGAGAAGAAAAAAAAAAAAAGAAATGCCTTATGTAGTTCACAATTCAACATGGTACTCTGCCACCGCCTGCCATTACTGTGTTTAAATACCATACAGATATCAAACATTTATACCAGTATAGAAGCCATCCACCTGTCTCATTAACAAAGTAAGTTTTATTAAGCTATTGCTTCAGGGCTTGTATCTAACCATTAAAGAATCGGATGGGACATTTGTGGGAAAATATTACCTCATGTCTGTCTGCCTTCTGTGGCCTCTCCTTTTCCTCTAGACCATCTGAGACTAGTCAATGTCATGGGTAAGTAAAGGTGAAGAATGGGTGTGACCCACAAGAATCCCTCTTTTTCCGTGCATAGGACAGATTTATCTCCTGAAAGAACAGTTATTTGTTGCATCACTTTATTCTTGTTGTGAAAGGTGTAACTTGCCTAACTTACTGTGCACTACTTAATTCTGCACAAACTATAAGTAGTATGTTTCCTCACAAACACTTCAGTGGTATCTCGGTGTTCCACAGAGATCAGCGTCATGTTTATTGTCACCATGTCCTATAAAGAGAGAAGATAAAATACTCTCAAGTTTATGAATGGGAAACTGGAACAAACAGACTAAGATAACATATCCACAAGCCTGTGACACCTAAGCATTGATTTTCCAGAGCACTCCCCGTAGGAGTTTCTATGTCCAAAGCATAGTCTTGGAGACTTCAGTGGTTGTTAGGCACACGCAGTCCCAGCATCACAAAGCAAAGCACTTGTAAATAAGACACATACACTTAGTCACACAAGGTATCACAGTATGGCAGTGCAACGGGACAAAAACAAACATGCAGGACCACAGAACACTCACAAACCTGTGGTACAGACAACCACTGAACAACTCAAAATCTAGACCCTCCAGTTTTTTTCTCCCTCTTTGAATCCAGTTCTGCACATACTTACAGCATGTCAATACAGACAAATCCAGACAGAGTTGAACTTGCTGTGGCTAAGCCAGGTTGTTCAAACCTGTTGGTACAGACGTATCTTGACGTATGTGTAGAGCACGCACTTACCCGAGGAGCTGCATAGAAGCCAAAGTTGCTCCGTGAGCAGCATGAACTGCACGTGAGATATGATTAGTGCTGATACAGCTCCAGCAGATTAAGTAATACTAAATCCACAGCCTTGCCAACCTGTGAAGAGAAACAGAGAACTGTGGAAAGTGATGTATTTTCTTACATACCAACTGCTTCTGCCCACAAGCAGCAGCCAACACCAACACTCACCATCAACTTATGAGCCTCCAGTTTACTGAACTCACTCAAAAATCAAGCCATTCTCTACCCTTAAATTCCAGCTCAGAAGCAGCAATGAAATCACCTGTTATCTTTTTAGATACCATTTTCTTTCAAGCGTGTTAAAGCTTTACTGTTCCAGAAAGCTACAGCAGTTTTCTTCCAACTGCTCTACTTCATAGCAAGTTTTGTCCACACTAGAACCTCCAATACGTATCTTCAGGTGCTAAAAGAAGTCAGAATTTGTCGAGAAACCCCAAGCACTGCCCTAACCCGACAACAAATGAAAACTGCACAAATCCACTTTGTCTTTCTCCCTGCAATACTTGCACCCACAGAGTAACTTGCCAAAAAGAAAAGAAAAAAAAATAACACAAAACCAAACAACTTTTCTACTCATTTTGTACCCAGGGAACTAGGCACAAACACTCGCTCATCTGGTGTCCCCGGTCCTACCCCCTTGCTTTTTACAGCTTTGAAAACAGCCATGTGCTAAGTCAAAATCAATTTTCCCCTTTGAGTGAATTCCTCGGGACCAGCATTCCAGCGGCGCTAGGAAGCCTGTTACTCACACGCTTAAAAGTGAGCTTAAGCTCGGCGTGAGCGAAAAGCTTTATTTTTTCCCCTCGTGAAAATGACCTCACCGAAGGAAAAAAAAAGGGAGGGGGATGCATGAGTTTGGTTGACCAACTTGCCAGCAGTCCCAAAGACAATAAACAAGCGTGAGGCGGCTCGTCCGTGGAGGGGGAAATCTCCTCAGCTCCCTGACGTGCCTTTTGTTAACTTCCCGTCATTACTTTTTTTTTTTTTTTTTTTTTCGGCACGACCACGCTTTGGGCGCTCAAAGCAGCAGCCCGAAGAGTCAGCTCTCACAGCTGGGAAGCAAGGCTTTAAAAAACAACCATCACAGAAAAAAAAAAAAAAAAAAAAAGTAATTTTTTTTTTTTTTTTTAAATCGCTCTCACACGCCACCTATGAGTCACCGCTCCCTCCAGAGACACAACTCGGCTCTGGGCGCGTTAAAAATACCCCAGCCTTTTCCTTCCGCGCTCCGGCTGCCCCCTGAGGGAGGGGAGGGCCGGCAGGGGGGCTGCCCTCACGGCTCCCCGACCCCTTCCCGGCCCCACAGCACCGAGGGGGCACAAAATGGAGGCGGCGGGAACGGGGCTGGCAGGGCGCGCACCCCCCCCCATGCACACACACAGGGCGGTTGGCGGGCGGGTAACGGCGGCTAACGGCCGGTAACGGCCGGGCGCTGCCCTGAGGTACCGCAGCCCCCCGGTGCCTGCCATTGCTCAGGAGCCGCACGTGTCCGCGGCTCGGGCTGTACCAGCTGTTTTATCTCCGGCTAGGTCGCCGTAATTACGCTACATAAAAATAGTTACGAGGTGCCGGGGAAGGGCTGGCTGTCGAAAAAGCGCCGTCGCTTCCTCTTCTGCCGTGAATGCGCGTTTGTGCGGATCGGCTGAGCCCGAAAAAAAAAGAGAGAGGGAGGGAGGGAAAGGAGGGGGGGGGGAGAAGCGAGCCCTGTTTTCGCCGTAGGAATTTATTATTTCATCAGCCGCTTAAAGCGCTCGCTCGCAGCCCGACATGCCTGCCCCGGCGCCGCCTCGTTCACAAACAAGCGAGCACGTGGCCGCGCGGCACTAAAACAAACACACGCACAAAAACACACCACATCCGCACGCCTTTTCCTTTTCATTTTTTAATTATTTATTTTTTAAAGGTAAGGCGGCTCGTCTTACTTTCCACGCTAAGCCCCCGCCCGCTGTATGCGCCCCCCCCCCCCCCCACACCGGAGTTTCGCCTTCGGGGGTGCGGGCGAAGCAGCGGCAGCGGGGCCGGTGCTGCGGGGCCGAGGGCTCCCGCATCGCTCTGGTCTGTGAGGAAAATAAACTGTTGCTGCACCACGTGCTGGCGGGGATGAGTCAAGCTGGGAGACTTTTCTTTCAAAGCGCGTGGCACGGCGAGATCCAGCGGGACGGGAGGGAGAATATAAAAAAAAATAATAAAAAAAAACACATAACCTTTTGTAAAAATAACCCCAGAAAGGGGACGCGCCTTGGCGGGGGGGGGGGGGGGGCTCCTGCCGTACACACTCTCCTTTCTTCTCCTCGCTATTCACACGCAGGAGTGGGTGGTTCATCCGGCAGCAACAGGAGGAGGCTAGTCAAGGGCAGCTGTCAAAATCTCCCCCCCCTCCTCCCTCTCCTCCTCGCTCCCCCCTCCTCTTTTCTCCTTCCAGTTTAATGATCAAACGGCTGCTTGGAAGAAAGGGAGGCTCGCAGGACCCCCCCTCGGCCCTCCCCTCCCGCCTGGCGGAGCCGCAGCAGCCGGCAGGGGAGGAGAGAGGCGGCCGGGAGGAGGAGGAGGAGGAGGAGGCAGCGCCGCGAGTGCTCGCGTAGCTCCGGGTTACTCTTACTCACTGCTGGAAGGTGGGGGAGGGTGCACTGGCGTGTACCTTTTCCTCCCGTGCCTTTTCTCACTTTACCGAGCCGGGGCCAATCCCCGCCAGAAAGGAACAAAGGGACGGGGGGGAGGGAAGCCCACCCCGGCCACAGCCGCCTCCAGCGAGCCCCAGGGGGGAGGCAGAGCCCCGCGGCTCCCGCTGACAGCACCAAGGATCCGGCCCGGGCGCCTGGCACCCACCGCGCTCCTCGCCTGCTGCTGCTGCTGCTGCTTCGTCCTTCCTCCTCCTCCTCGCCGAGTTTAAAAGGGGAGCAAGCGGCCGGCCGGCAGAAACTTGGCTCAGCGGGCGGCAGCGGCGGCTCGGTCCTCGCCGTCAAGATGAAAAGTAAAAAAGGTACCTGCCTGCGGGGAGAGAGAGAGAGGAGAGAGAGGGGGGGGACCCGCGCCCCTTCCCCTGGCCGTGCTCGGGGGGCAGCCGAGCGGGACGGAGCCCCTCAGCCCTCCCCCCCCGGACCCCTCAGCCCCCCGGGGCTGCCCTCACCCCGCTGGGCTCGGTGCCGGGCTCGCAGCCCCAGGCGGGTGCTGCCGGCGGCTGTCACAAGCCTGCCCCGCTGGGTGCCGCGGCCAAGTTTTGGTTCCCCGTCCCCAGCCGCTTCCCGGCGGGCAGGGCTGAGCCCTGGGGGCTCGGCTGGGAGCGGGGCAGCCTCCTGCCGCTCTTTGTCTGCCTGCCACGGGACGAGGGGCTGCGGGAGCTGCCTGCCTTGCTCTCCCCTTGCATCCCGTAACAGAGAGGGAAGAAGTGCAAAAGTTTGCACGCGGTTAGGGTTAAAAGGAGGAGGAAGACGCACATACCCCCCCCCCCTTCCCTTTGTAAAAAACGAGGCTCTCTGGGTTTTCTTTGTGCTGTTTACGAAAACTTTGCAGCGTGCTGCCCCTTCCCCCTCGGACCGCGCTTTTTTTTGGGGCCGGCCGCGTGTGCCCCGCGTTTTGGGGCTGGGGCGAGGCTGGCAGCGAGCGGCTGCCCCGCGGCCGTGATTCACCAGCTTGTGGTGTGCTCCCAAAGCGCTCCCAGGACACCCAGTGCCCCGTGGCGGAGAGGGGAGCAGCTCGCTGCCCCACACTCAGGCTCTTTTCCCCCGCACCTCCTTGTTGATAGCCCCCGGAGCGGGCAGCTTGTACGTGCACAGCGAGCCCTGAGGGGTGCTGGAAACGAGGTGTCCCCCCCCAGAGGGTTTCCAGCCTTGGTGAGCGGGTTGGGGCTTGCACACAAAGGGAATGGGGCCACAAAGGCGCCCCCACTCCCTTGGGGTGCCCAGCCCCACTGTCCGCACCTGGAGGCACCTCATACTTCGGGGGTCTCCTCCCGGGACCCTTAACCTTGCTGCAAACAGCGATTTTTAATTTATACTTTTTTTTTTTTCTTGCATGGTTTCACTGAATTAATTCAGCCCGGTTATTTTTAGGACATTCCTATGCTCCCTATTTGCACAGCAGTGGTGAGCTGGTTTCCTGTCTGCTGTTGCTTCCATTGTTCAGACTTCTCTCCCCGAGGGCAGCTGCTGGTTGCTGAAATACCAAAACTCCCTGCACTTTCGGCTGTTGTTCTTGCCACCCCCGAAATAAATGTGTGTGAAAAGTGCTGACGTCGTTTCTAGGTATGCGTGTGTGTGTGTGTGTGTGTGTAGGGCTTTGTGTGCGAGAGAGAGGGAGGCAGAGCTCCGCTCCCAGGGCTGCAGGCTTGGGGCTGGAACAATGGAAACCACGCAAGGTGACGGGCCTGGGGGGCTCCCGAGCGGGGCAGGGGGCCAGGGGCTTGCCTGGCAGAAAGGAGAAGGCGAGGGGACGGGGATGGAAACTTTCAGCCAGGCGTTGGGGCTCGGGTGCCTTTGTTTTGTTCAAGGTTAGGCTTGTAGTTGTTTGGCACCTCCTGGCATTCGGGGCTGGCTCAAGAAGTTTCAAAGAATGACTTTGTTTCAGATTCCTTGCTCGCAGTCCTAGAAAAATCCTGTTTTAAAGGGGAAAAAAACGTATGGCGTAGCCAAGTCTGGCTGCTTTAGAAGCGACAGAGCTCAAGCTGTGAAATGCAGAGGAAAACAAATAAGCTGATTCCTCACTTCTGAAACATGCTCAAAGTTTTTTTGTTTTGTTTTGTTTTGTTTTTTTTTTCCCTCCGTGGAAATTCCCTTATGCATTCTGTAATTCTTGGTTGCTTATGAATAATTCTAAACTAATTTACTTTTGTTGGGTTTTAACTTCACGTTAAACTTTAGTTCGTGTTTTTTTGTTTTTATTTTTTTATTTTTTTTTTTCCTTTATCAGCCTGTGGGTTAAAACCCCGAGGACTGTTCTGTGGATGGTTTCATTTACAAATAATAACCCGATAGCGATCACACGGAACACACTCAGCTTGTTAATTAGCTGATTTGGAATACAGTCTTGCGAAGGCACAGGCGTACGTTCAAGTTTATACATGTGAGGAATCCTACTGAACTCGGTTGCGACAGGATCGGGGCCTTAGATGGGAGCTAGTTCTGCTTATCCGTGCTCATAAAAATCCAGCTTAAGTTCACAAAGCACCGACGGGGAGGGGTGGGAGCTTTTCCCGAAGGTGATCTTTGTCGGTTCCCTCTCTGGAGGGCAGAGATTGCTTCTTGTGGTATACTTTGTCCTGTTTTGAATAGCAGTTGGCCTGTGCCACTTCCTCAGTGAGCCTCTTCCTCGACACAATGGGATGGTGGTGGGTTTCTTCCTGGTAGCCTGGATTTTGAGTTTGCTAACTCCCGTTTCATCTGCCTCAGCCTCTCCAAATGCTTTGCCCTTCCCCTTTAGTATTTCAGTGTGCCTTCTGAAGGAGCAGTAGTTTATTTTGAAACCAACTTCAGTCATTGCCGTACTTTTTTCCAAAACTGTTCACGGCTGGGTGTGGGGCTCGGGGTTGTGTGCAGGACCCTGGGTGCAATCTGCCCTGAGCTGGTTACAGGAGGACCTGTAAAGTCTCTGGGCTGTGATACCGGGCAATGGGGTGTTCAGTCATGTACATGGCTGCAGCTGGGAAGCCAGGAGGATAAAGTAATTTATTAAGGAGGGCTGCTGATCGTGCAGTCCTTGGGTCATTAGTGGCACGGGCCGCTTGTCTGTGGCAGCAGAGACCTGGGGCTGGGACCTCTGCGAGCAAACTCGTGCTGCTTTGGTTTAGTCATATAAAAGCAGCTCTTCTGTTTAGATTAAACATGTTTAGGAGAGGACGGAGCGTAACCTGATGCTAGCCTGCTTTGAAGATGACATAAATTAGTAGGTCAGCTGGGGCTACTCGGCATGTCCGCGGGCCTTTATTCTGGGTGTAAATAACAGTAAGCCAATGGTCCAGTGGTGGAGCCCAGCCAGAAACCTTTTCAGTTGGGCCCTGTTAAAACAGGAAACCAGCAACGAATAGCCTGATTACTAACACGGAGGCAAAACAAAGCTGGGTTGTAATCAGCAGGAATGCTTTAATGAAAACAGAGCCTTGACAGCAGCAACGTGGCTCCTGCTCTAGTAAAAAAAAAATATCAGCTGGGGCCGTGCGAGGTTTGTAGCCAGGACTTCCTGTCGCTGCGCCGCGGGAGTATCTGCGAGCAGCTCACAGGGCTGCTGCTGCTCTATTTAAATGAGGAGAAGTTGTAACGCTGGGTTTCCTGCTGAACCCGAACCTGCTCTGTGTCACCAGCTCACCCTGTCAATTAACCTGACACACCGAGCAAGCCGGTCAAAGGGCAGCTCCGCCGTTGACTCATTCCTTGCTAGGTAAGCTACGGTTAGTCAGACGGCAACTTTTACTTCAGAAGTGCCGAGGCAGGAGATGGTGTTTGCAAAACACAGAGAGCTTTTCATGCTGCTGGCTTCGAGGGCAGTTACTTCGCCACTTTTTCAGGTGGAAGAGAGCAACTAGTTTTGTACTGAGTTTCGCTGCCGAGGCGGTTTTCTCTAATTCAGCGAAGCTCCAGTGGAGTGCTTCAGCTGTGCGTTAGGTCCCAGAGAGGTCATGCCAAGTGGGGTGGTGATGCATGTCTGGAGGACTTCTCGTTACGCTACGTAAATATGGCTCACAAGCTGTGAGACACCTTATTTTCTCGTAGGAGTAGTTTCTTTGGCTCCTCTCCCTTCTTACTTCCAGTCTTCACTGTTTGCATGTCCCTGTCTTCCAAAGTCCTGTCTCACTGCCTGTTAAATTCAAACACAAACAAAAAACCCAACCCACTGGAGTGCTGCAACGCTTCTCGTTTCTGACAAACAAGAACGGCGCATTTGAAAACACTGAATAATCTGGGCTAGTTTTAGCTAGTTCTAGCACTCGATTTAGAAGCTGCTTTGCAGAGCCATCACGTTGTCTGCGAGTGATCTTTGTTCCAAGAAGTGCTCCAGGACCCCGTTGTGCAAGGCATGTTCTCAGGTTAGATTGCAAGCATGACAGCACTTTGCATGAAGCTATTACAAACAGAAAAGAGTTTGCTCATAATCCTTTAAAGCAAACTTGACATACTTTCTACGTGAATTAAGAACCTGTTTACCTAATTTAGGGGGTTTATCTTGTGTTGGGCATTTAAATATTTCCCTATTGTTCCTGCCCCACGACTGGATAATTTGTGGCAAATCATCCCAGGAAAAATACGTTTTGTCAGTTTGGTGTTTGTCAGTGGGCGTAAATCAGCAATTGAGAGAACAAAAACAATACTGAGTTACTGAAGTAACCATGCCAGACACTTCGCAGATTGATCATCCTACTGGGAACCCTTGCATGTCAAAAACATGCATTGAAATCTGGACAACTTAAACTAAATGTAATGATACTGAAGCTACTCATAAATAGGAGGAAGAAAGAATAATTCACCATGTCAGCATTGGCTGCAGTTTGAAAGGGGGGGGGGGGAGAGGTCCTTCCCCCACACACATCGGGAAGTGTGGAGCAAAACTTTAACATACAGCCCTCTCCTTTTCTTTTCCTTTCCTTTTTTTTTCTTTTTTAATAGCTTCATGTAGTTTTACACTTTCACAGGCACATGGTTTATATTTCAGGACTGACTTTCTTTCCTTAAACAGAACCTTTGAATTATGGGTAGTTGCCCACATAAAATTTTGACTTCTGACATTTAACTCGGTTTTACTATTAGTGTTTTCAGTTTTGCTGTTATGAATGAGCAAGTTCCTTCTTCCTCTCCCTCCCTCCCTCCCTTCTCAACATGAAATGCAAGTTTGAAACAAAGCTTATTATGGGCTCCTAGTACATTTTTTTTGTAGAAGGCTTCTGAAAACCAGTCTATTTTCACTTGAAATTAGTGTTGGATTGCACTAATTGAAATGTGTGATATCTTACATAGATTTATATGTAGTTTTGTAAGATTTCAAAATTACTGGTGAGCTCTACCTGGTGAGTGTTTTAAAGTTTTCTGTGTATTTTAAGGTACAACTTGCTTCATCAGTGGCTTGTGTATCCTATACCAAAGGAGTAGAATTGTAGTTTTCTTAGCTACTGGCTGTTAAGTACTTGTATTTACTTTATTATCTTAACGTATCTTCAAGTAGTGAAGCAGTAAAGAGTGGTGCATATATAGAAAGTGATGATCAATTTCTGAAATTCTTTTTTTGTGTTGTGAAAGAAAAAGGCATGCAGTTAACTTGTAAACCCGGAGACTGTAATAAGCGTAGCACACAGAACATGCACTTCCACAGGGTGAAATATGAGATTAAAACTCTGAAGTTGGGGGAAAAATAAGGAGCATGCAATCAAAGTGGTACATGATTTTTTTTTATTTTTGAATGATTGAGCTTGTGTATCAAAGAACTGCAATTAAATTTCAGAAGTCCGTCTTTGGTTATACTAGTGGACTTTTACCTGAGTTTATACACCTGGTTCTTTCATTTTCCTGATTTTTTTTTTTATTATTATTTTTTAAAACTAAATTAAAGTTACATGAGGATGGAGGCAGACACAATTCTCCTTTTTTTCTTTTCTTGCTCCATTAGTTGTTATTAATAGTTCTGGAATGAGCTATTAATTTATAAAAATCTACAAGCCCTCTCTCCCGTGAGGGAAGCATCAGCATTTTAAGGAGTAATTAAATAACCCATCGCTTGAATTGGGTGTATGGTTTTTCAGTTTTTGTCTGTTGGCCCCTTGCCCAGCCACTGGCTATCCTTCAAGAGAAGAGTGTTGGATGCATACCATAGCAAGCAAATTTGGACAATATTGGCGTTAGATAGAAGCCATCTGATAACATGCAGCAGATAAAAGGTTGCTAAGGGAACAAGAAAATGAGGGTTTACAGAGAATTCCCTTAGGAATGTCGCATTGGTACTACTTTTTGTTCAACTGACAGAAAAGCTACAGCTTGACAAGTTAACGCTACAGGATAAATCCCCTATAAAGGCTGTGCCGTGATTGATGGTAAAGGTGGTTAGTTAACGTAATAAGAAGTGTCTGAAACATCAAACGCTGGAGCTAAATACTTGACTGGGGTAGGAGGCTGATGGTGCTTTCCTTTTTGTAATTGCAGGTGTAGTTGCAATATCAGGCAGCGAAACAGAGGACGATGACACTATGGATGTCCCACTGGATCTTTCCTCATCTGCTGGCTCAGGCAAACGTAGGAGACGTGGCAACCTGCCCAAGGAGTCTGTCCAGATTCTTCGGGACTGGCTATATGAGCACCGATACAATGCTTATCCTTCAGAGCAAGAAAAAGTGCTGTTATCCCGGCAAACACACCTTTCCACACTACAGGTATTCAAATAAAGAAGTCCTTTTCATTTTGTTTAAAGGAACTGTTTTCTTCTTAATTTACCTGTTGTCTAGTCAGTGATGTAAGTATTTATACTCTGTGATGTTTCCTTTTTTTTTTTTTTTGTTTTAATAAGTACTCGCTCTTTTCCTGACAGTTGTAAGGAGAAATCCAGATGAATTGTGTGTTACGATGATCTTTGTTTACTGGGAATAAAATCAGTTCTTTGGGAGAACAGACAGTCATGAATTCAAACGTGAATGCTAATTTTCGCAAAATTGGGGCCAAAAAGACATAAAGTGTCTGTATAAGGTAATTTATTGTGAGAAGAAGGGATTAGTTTGTCAACAGAGGTTTTATGGTGATCGATGCACAGCTGAGTATATTACTCCTTGCTTCTAAAACTGCAACTTGAGGCTCATTCCTGTAGAACAAGAATATTTATAATTATGTGCATGACGACTTCCAGTAAGATCAGTGGAACAACCTGTATGGATAGAGCTACTCAAGTGCATTAGCATGGGTGTGATCAGGCTTTTATGTGGTTGGTTTTGGATTCTCACCTTGAGGCTATACCGCTGGCAACTGTGAGGTCCCCTGGATGCAACATACTTGTCTTTCATGATCCCCTTTAGTAGAAGTGCTGTGAGCAATTGCCACTTTCCACCTCGTGAGAAGGTAGTTGTAGGAAGACTTCTGCAAGCCCTGGTTTGGCCTGACGCTAAATATAGAGTGCTTGTGTTGGCTTCTGGGCTTTATTTTTTCCAGATTAGTTCGTTAGTACAAATTCCGTAATTGACTGTGAAGTAAAATTTCTTTTGTGTAACATCATAAAGAAAACCTTCATGTAGTAAACACAAAAAAGACGTTAAACTATAAACTATCCTGTATCGCCCAGGAAACTGGTTTGATATTTAAACAAGGACAAACTTAAATGAGGTAATTCATGTTATGTCTGTCGACACAGTCAGTTGAACAAGGAAAATCAGTAACTATTTGTGGGAGGAGTGGCCCTCTTCAGAGAGAAAAGGTTTTCCTGTTGTTAATTAACCTAAGCGCAGGGAACAATGGCTAATAGATTAATGTGTGTGCACAGAGTTAAAAGGTAAACCTCTGGGCTGAGGCTGGCCGTCTTCAGATGTCCTGGGGCTTTCCGCAGAAGGAGCTGGGGAGCTGGGGGTAGAGCGGGGACAAGGGAAAGGCCTTAGCCAGGCGTGTCAGAGCTTGTCCCATGGCCTCCTTTGTTCTGCGGTTGAGGAAACTGCTCAAACTGCTGGGAGGGAGTCATTAATCTAACCCAACGACTGTAGTGGCACATAGTTGGAAGTGAATGAAGGTAGAAATTAAGATGTCCTTGTATTCCCAGGTCTGCAACTGGTTTATCAATGCACGCCGCAGGCTCCTACCTGACATGCTGAGGAAGGATGGCAAAGACCCAAACCAGTTCACCATCTCGCGGCGAGGGACCAAGCTTCCCGAGGGCGGCCTGGTGGAGTCCTCCATGAGCACAAAGACCTTCATTCCCCTGCTGGAGGAGAGCGCCTTCCTCCCTGCCGCCGCCGCGCTCAGCAAGACTGTGTCCTCCTCCAAGCCTGCGTCCCCAGGTTCGGTCCTGGCTCGGCCCTCGGTGATTTGCCACACCACTGTGACTGCGTTGAAAGATGCCCCTTTCCATTTCTGCCAGCCAGCTGACGTAGGCCAGACCACGGACCTGCAGCAGCCCCCGGCCAACACCTTCACAGACAGCTCCCTCTCCTACCATGAGGACACCTCTAAACTGGGACCTGGTGCGAACGCGCAAAGTGGGCTCTTTAACACTCCTCCTCCAACCCCACCAGACCTTAACCAGGATTTCAGTGGATTCCAGCTACTGGTGGATGTTGCACTCAAAAGGGCGGCAGAGATGGAGTTGCAGGCAAAACTTATGGCCTAAATCCCCTTCCTTCTCTTTCCCCATCTCTTTTTTTTTTTTTTTTTTCCAGGCAGGGATCTAACAGCTGTGTGGTTATTGCCATCCACACAATATCAAGAGACATAACTGCATTATTATTATTTTTTTTATTAATCTTATTTGCACAAGGGATTGCTGAAATGAAGCTTCCTGTCACTGAGATCGTCTTCAGTGGAGTATGGTCATTCCAAGAATTACAAACTTAAAGCTACTGTAGAAAGAAAGGATTGTGTGTGTTTTTTTTTTAATGTTTCCTTTGTAGGTTTTTCATAATGTGAGATGGTTCCCAAGATCATGTGATTTGTTTTTGTTTCTTTCAGACTGTGCAATATCTAGTAATGATATAGAGTCTTCTTACCATTCCCATGCGGAACAGAATATACCGACACGCTGTCTAAAGTAAATTTTCAATTTTTTTTAACAATACGAACTTTGGATGATTATGCTTTTTTTCCCATAATGTAATAAAATATTTTCTTTAAAAACGGGTGCACACAGAGTATTTTGTTGAACACAAGCTTCGTAGAAAACACAGCTTTCCTCTTGAAATAAATGGAAGTGAGAAATATTTTTGACCTCATACTGGCTTTGTTTGGTTTAGAGAATTACACTAGCAGTTTCTGTTAACCAGATGTTCAAAGGAATGTTGAAAAGTGGGCTCAAAGTACCTGACAGTGTTCTGCTGTGTTGACCTTTCTAATGGGGCCAAAGGGAGCTGTGTAGTCAACTAGCATTAAATTTCAGGGGGATGTCTTAGGCTCCTCTAAGAGTTTGAGCTTTTTAGCTCCTAGAAATACCTGGGTGATGTGACAGCTCATGGCGACATACTCCTGAGGATGAAATAAGGAGGCCAGGAAAAGGCTCGGGGTCTTTGCGATACAGCTTCTAGGCAATGATGACAAATTTTGAGGGGGGCAAGAGGGGAGGTGTTACATTTCCTTTTCTTGGACTATCAGTGGCAAGATTTCGACTTCAGTAAATAGGAGAGGGTGGATATTAGGTTGAAAGCTGTGTTCTGCGAGCCAGGTCTTTGAGATACTTAAAACACCAAACAAGTAGGTGACAAAGATTTAGAAGGGATCCCTGCTGTATGTAGGTGTATTCTGGCCAATGGATTCCAAGTTACTTTTCAGAAAAGGACTGTAGCTACTGAAAAATGTGAAGGCTTGCAGCTGGCATTTCAGCTTTCCTGAATAGCAGTTACCCACCCTCATCCTTCTAAAAGCAGTGAAATGAGATGTCTAGGGAGAAAAATTGGTTCCTGCTAATCCTTAAAAACAAGCCAGTTGTCTGCCTGGGTGACTGGGGGAGGGTTTTGTAAAGCAGGAGAGCTGGCAAATGTGGGGATATTTTTATGAGTAGAAGACTGCAATATGTGTATATTGTGATGTGTGCCTTCTGTTTGTTTTTGCTGTGGCCTTTATTGTGTTTGATGGCAGAAAACTTTGTTCTCTAGAGTACTGTTTGGAGTTTTACTCAATTTATTCCTTCCTTAAAGCTTCAATTTATTTATTTTTCAAAAAACAAATCTGGTTTATTCACATTTGCACCAGCTTTAGTAACAACACAGGGTTGTCCTCATAAACTGTATGAATATAGAATCAGGTTCTGAATTTAAAAACAAACACTATTGAAATAAAGCTAGAAAAAATAGTTCTGAGCAGAGCCAGATATGGCTGTATACTTCATCTTAAAGATGAAGCGTGTGAATCCAGAAAGGGACAAGTCCCCTCCCTTTGACTAGACATAATGTGCTTCTAGACTACTTTTTTTGGAATACCTAGGCACATTTTTTAATATATATATATTAATCAGAGTAGGCTTTTGTGCAACTATGGGGTCAGTGTTGAGGGAGAAGTGGGGGAAGTTGAAGCAATCCTTTTGCAGTACAGATGTTTGCTCTCAAAGGGTGCTAGACACCCAAAAATGGAGCATCATCTTTGGTAAAGGTTTGTCAGATGTTTTCTTGTCCACATGCAACGAAGAATTTATTGCAACACTCTATGCCCATGCCTCAGGCACTGGCTAAGAAAAAACAACCTCAAGCAAATATTTTTGCCTTGTGGGTTCTTTTTTTTTTTTTTTTTCTTCTTTCTTGGTTGTTTGTTGTTGTTGTTCAAAAGCAGGTTGCCAGTGTGCTGAGGAGTAAAAGTGGGGGACCAGATCATCAAAGGGCATTCTGAGAGATAATTATTCTTTACTATGGCATTTGAAATAAATAAAAAAAAATCAGTGTTTTTTTTTTGGGGGGTGGGGAAAAGGGAATTTGCTTTTTGACCTGACCAGTTCTGTAGCTCCACCAGAACAGCTGCAAAAATGGAAATAGGGTGAGGAAGAAAACCTTGCCATTCAAGTTTTTCATTGAAAGTAGTAAGCCTGTGGTCACTGCTGTTACCACTGCTGTTATCTCGTTCGCCATTCTCCCACACAAAGTGACGTTAGCGTAACAGAACCGAAGTCCTCCCCCTCCTATGAATGCTGTATTTCCTATTTTGCTGACACTTTTCCAGGGGATTTCACTTGTGACCAGTTTTGCTTTAGGCCATTTTTTTTTATTATTATTTTATTAAAGTTACTTCTTGTGTTAAGGACTACATCTAGGAGTTCAGCTGTATGTAGTCATAAGCCAAACCCCTTTGGCACCTGGCACACAGTGAAATGGCTTTTCTCTACCCTCAGGTGTTATTTAACTTGGAGGAAGAAAATGACTCATACTGAGTACCCACTAAAAGAATATCAGAAGGCAGTTTCTGCTTTCCTGTAATCTAGCACTGATAGTTTTGGTTCAGGCTATTGAAGTTTGCCGGAATCTATTCTTTCAGAGCTGCAACTTGAAGTTAGCTCCAGATAAAAATTATCGAAGGTAGATTTCGGACATCAGGCGGAGCTGGGATCCAGAATGAGCAGGAGTCCCAACAGCTAACAAATCCAAGGCTGCCTGTGACAGCAGTGCCGTGCTGTGCTGGGGAGCATGTGGCCGGGAAGAGCCTGAGTGACCTAGGAGGTATGACAGATCTCCGCCAGCCGAGACAGCTCGCACGCAGGCTTAGTCAACCTTGTTTTCCTGGCTTTTGCGTCTTGTAAACACCACTTGGCAGCTGTGTGTGATAAATCCCTGCTTGAAGTGAAGATGATTACTATCAGGAGGGGATCTTGGGGCCGGCATTTCCCCATGTGTGCGTGCAGGGGGGGAGGCACCTCGTGGGATGGCGGGGCGGGGGCTGCAGCATTGCACACACATCTCCTGGCTTCTGTCATGAACTCAACGTGTGTGTCCATAAAACCCTCAAAGAGCTGCAGCTGGCCTTGTGTACTTGGGAAGGAAAGATCTCAGGGGTACGGGTGCTAAGCTCAGCAGGAAAGGAGTGGCAGAAGAAAGTAGGTAGAAGCTGGGGATGTGGCTGGCTTGGTGAAATAGCTGTGTGGGGGGGATGGTGGGGGACTGACGATCGTGGTTTCCCTCTGGAAGAGGAAGAAAGTGGAAACCCAGCCTCCTGGAGCCCCCCGCCAGCCCTCAGCTCCCAGCCAACAGCACTGAGGCCGCACTGTGCACCCGTCAAGGTGTGTTTTCACCAGACATTTTTCTTGTTCACACTTGAGAGCTGTTCCTGTAGTATTTCCTAGCTCTTTTAAAGTTCGTTCTTGTTTTTTTTTTTTTTTTTTTTTTTTTTTTTTTGTTTTTTTTTTTTTTTTTCCTTCTTCCTCCTCTTGGCGTATTGCAGTTGTCAACTTTCCCCGTGGCTTTTGCCAAGTAGGGATTATTGGCACAAACACAGCGCGTGTTTGCTTCTCAGGACATGACTTGTTTTAAGTCTCCTGTTCAGTGACTGCCTGAGCTCTTACATCCCTGTCCCATTTCCCTAGGTTAGCAGGCTCTTCTCCATCAGCTCCGGTGTCTGGACTAAGGGGAAAGAGCGTAGACGAGCCACTCTCTCTAGCAAAACGTCACTTAAAGCTGTCGCTGTTCCAGACGTGGTAATTGCATCCACGTGTGCTGTGTGCCATTCACTGTCTGCTCTGGTCTCTGTCATGACAACGAGTGCCTGGAGATCTGTGAACACAGAAAAGCAAAAAAAGTCATTATGACTGCACTACCAAGCCAGCGCTCTGACTGCCTTCTCCATCCAAGGTTTGCACCCGTGGCTGCTGACAGCACAAAGCTGTAGCATTCAGCAATTTTGCTCACCTCTCCCTCTGAAACTGCAGCTTCACTTGGCTTCCAGCTCACCTTTACAAAGCTTTCTGAAGGCTTTGGCATCGGGACTACTCCTGGCAAGTGTCACCAGGCTGGCCGTGCCAGCTTGCAGGCTGGGGTAGGCACCAACAGCAGAACTGCCGTGTGGCCCCTCTACCTAACATGCACCAGCTGCCAAGGCTGGTGCAGGCCTGAGTAGGCCACAGCTGTCTCCCAGCTCCTCACTGTACCACTGGAGAGCAGGGTTTTGGTCAGATTTTGTGTATTTCCACTGACAGACTTGTTAGTGTTGCCCTTTCAGCTGCTTGCACCAATGTGTAAGGAACCTGTAGACGTGCGTGCAGGTAGCAGCGCTTTGAAACCGTGACTTAACTGGGTGCAAAACTGGGCTGACTGCGAGCAGCTGGCAGCTGCCTGTCCCCATCAGTGCTTGGACAACTTCTCCAAGACCACAGACCGGGGCTGTGGCTGTTTCCTCTCACTGCAGCCAGCCCTGGGCAGTGAGCCCTGCCGGTAGGTGTGTGGCAGTGTGAGCCTCTTGCAGCAAGGAACTTTATGAACCCTGCACGTGGTGTTTGTTGTGAGCCTTTTGTCAAATCGTTTGGCTGATGATGAAGAGAACTGAGCTGACGGTGGCAAGAGCAGTTCAGTCTGGTGCTGTGGGTTTTGCAGCAGGTACCTATGTTTCCATGGCTTCTCTGAGCCTCTGCATCGCTGCCATAGAGCTGGGGAAATGCTGCCCAGGCAGAGGTTCCTGGAGCTCCTCCATCAGTGACATACAGAATCATATTTATAGGATCTGAAGAGAAACCGAAGCATTTCATGGACTGGAAAAGCTCAGCTACTTTTGGAGAATGTTAATCTTTATCAATAGTAAGGAAATAATTCCCAATTAATTCCTCAAGCGTGCTCCTGCTTCCGCCACTACAAATGAACAAGTAGGGCCAGAGAGACTTATCCTTGTCCTATCTAGCTGCAGCGTAAAAATGAGTAGTTTTCCCTACTGCAACTTTGCCTCTAGTGTTCTAGGTCTTTTGCAGGAGCAAAATTAATTTCTGTTTATTGGTGAACACATTTTAGTGTTTGGCTAGGGGCTTTCAGCCTCTTCATCTCTCTTCTAGAAGCTGCTGCTGGAAAAGACATTCTCGATCATAAATTGCCACCAGCTTATAGATTTTACTAGAACTACTTTTTACTTAAAAAAAAAAAAAAAATAAATCACTCGACTGATTGTGGGAAGCACATGATGGCCTCCAGCTTGCTTTTGTGCGTAACTTGCCTTGGAAGAAGTTCTGGACAGCAGACACATAACTGATGGTAAGGATCACAACAGTTTTGCAATTTGACTGAGTAAGCATTCAGCTGTTTTGCCAGAGCCTGTAATTTCACTTCCTCTTCTAGCCTCGATGTTCTGATTGCCTGACCTCGTGCTGAATGTCTTATTTTGTTTTCTTTTGTACGTCTAGTATCATTCCTTGTTTGAACTCTCCCTCTATCGTCTCTATCCGTTTGACTTGACAGTGCTTACATAATGCTATGCATAGCCCATTTAAGTAGGTTAGAGATTATTTTGACTAGTTTTGTACTGCCTGGAAAGTCATCTCATCCTTGCTAGTCCACTAAACTAACCACAACAAATCTGGCTCTGATGCAAACGAATCAACTTCTGTTCATGAGAGGACGCACATCTTCCCTGTGTAGTCTGGCTTTTTTTTTTTTTTTTTTCTAGCTTCTGCTTTCTGTGCTGTGGCAGACATAAGCCTAAAAGAAGAGCAATTAGTAATAAAATCCATCAGGGTGTTTTTAAGAACCGAGAAGCTTCCCCAGGTGGACTTCCCAGCAGGTGAGGTATGAAGCAGACCTTCCTCTGCCAACCTTAGCTAAAGGTTAGTTCAGGTTATCGTATTAAATGCTACCTAGGCGGTTGCTGCTGTAACTCATTCTTCATGTTCAATTCAGCTGGCTTGTGCTCAGCCAAGGTATTTTCAGTGATACGCTGCCAACTTTCTACAAAGGCTTCCTCAAAAGTTTTTCTCCCTTAGCTGGTGATACATGGGAAAACCTCCTGTAAATATCTCCTTGTAGTTCAGAGATTTACATCTGCAAAGCACATACTGTGTGGTAAAGCTACCAGTCCCTCCACCTGAACCCCCTTGCTCCTGCACAAGCAGCTTCAGCCAACTTCATCTCCTTGCCTGGTCAGTAAATTAATAGATATGTGCTGAATCTGCGAGACATCTGGTTTTACATCTCACCTACTTTGCTCATGGGGGCAAGAGGGAAGGTCCTGACCACCCTCTGAAGGGAGGGTGGCACTCCCTACTATCTTTTGGACCCCAGGAGGAGGTAATAGGGACACAGGTCTCTCAGTGGGAGAGTTCCCACTTGCTCCTTAACCTGGCTGGGAACCTGGGGGCAGCAGGAGCGGTGTGGGTCCCCTGGTCAGCAAGCAGTTTCTCGAGCTCCCTCTAATTGAAACAAGCAGCATCCATGTGGGCTGGGGTTGTGCGTGCATCATTTTCTTTCCTATTTACACCCGTAAGCAGCAGGTATTTCCGCTCTGAGAAATTTCCTTCCAAGCGGGGTGATTCAGAAAGCTCAGGTTTCCTCCCACGGGGTCGAGCGAGCGAGGCAGGGCAGCACGGATCAGCTGATGCCCATGTTAGTCAGACTTTCTGCATCTGCCTCAAAAAATGACTTGCTGGCGGCTCTGCTGAGGCAGGAAACGTGACCCCGCTAGCCGCTTTGTTGTGCTTGCTGAACCTGGAGGGAACTTGCTTTCAGCCTCTCTGTTCCCCTGCAGATTTGCCTTCCACCCTCGCCTTGCCCCAGCCCTCCTTCACATGCTCCTGGCCGGGCATCGCCTGCAAGGCACAGGGAGAGCTGCAGCCCCGGTGCATCGCTTGTGCAAGGACGAGGCAGAACTCGCTGTGCCTCCCTCCCTGCGGGATGCGCTTCCTCCCAAGGAAATCCCCCACTGCGAGGCATCCTGGGAGCCCAGCCCTGCGGATTTTAAAAGGCAGCCAGAAAGCGCTGCCTGGTACCGGAGGACACCTACGGGTGTTGAGAAAGCCCTCGGAAAGAAGCAAACGTTTCAGTTAGGGATAAGGAGAAGAAAAACGCAGTCCTTCCCACTCCTCGGCTCTGTGGTTTGTCTGAGCTCACTTCCTTGGGATACATCAGGGTTTGATCTGTAAAAAGAGATATCTAAAAACGTGTAAAATCTTAACTGTTCTGGTGATAGCAGCGTAATCTGCCTTTGATCACGTAAATTGTCAAAGCACAGCTCTATCTGCTGCCCAGGGACTGCAGGAAATGCACAGGCACTTACGCAAATGCATAGAGAAGGGGATGCTTTGCAGGGCTGGTGGGCTGGGGGGGAGATGGCTCTTGCTGGAGCTTTTGGTTCGTGGATCATGGCTGGATGGTTTGGCAAACCTGGCTCTCCCATGTCACTGTTCTGCAAGTTCCCAGGGCTCCTGTTCCTGCTGTGACTGTGTCTGCGAACTGCTCACAGCCCAGTTGTGCAATCCTTGGGTGCTGGGAGGTTTCCATAGCTCTTTTCATGAACACTGGTGGCATTTACCAGCAGAGTCAGCAAGCTGGGTTCTTTGGCTGTGTTTTTTCTCCAAATAGCCACAGGGACTGCAGTGTTCATGTTTTGCCTCTAAATCCCCATGACTTTGGCCAGTTAAGGGATATTTGCACATGGGTGGGTGAATCTGACAGCAAGAGACAAAACAATTTCTTTGAGAACCTTGAGGGGAGCCAAGGCTGCACCAGAGCCTGACCAGGGCAGGAGGCAGCAGCAGCACAGCGGGGCACAACCCGCAGCTGGGGAGCTGTCAGGCAGGACTTTAACTCCGTGCAAAATGGGAATTTTCCTCTTTCCCAGATTTGCAAAAGATTTTGCAAACCCTCGTGAGAGACAGTTTGGGTATAGCATAGGAGTGCATCCATCACTGCGTTCACAACAACCGCACTTCGTAGCACTTAAACCAGATCCTTTCCCTCTCCTTTATTATGTTTGGTGCACAAGATGAGTGACAAGACACTGGACTCTGGTACTTCACCTGACTTGCTTTAATTTGCACGTTGAAGGACCTGCAGAAAGCTGTCAAGAGAGCAGGATGAGCCCTCCATTACTTGGTTACACCAACAAGACTCCTCTGGCAGCTGTGCCATGCTATGCCTGAGGATGCAACCTGCTTTTAGGGCAGGCTCCATCATTTTTCCTAGGCTGCGAGTGTTGCACAGGTGCAGAACAGCTTGCAGAGGAATGTGGGGCAGCGCTACCGAAACTGGGTGCAAGTTTGTTGTGCTGGCTTTGTTTGTTTTTTTCACCTCAGCGATAATTCTTAACCAGCGTGCAATCTCTGTTCTATGTACTTTACAACTCCTCGTGATTTACTGTGATAATCGAGAACTTAAAACAGAAGCCCGGCCCTGAACCTTTTCACTACAAGGAAAACAAGACCTTTGCACTGTCGGCTGAGCTCAGAGCCTCCATCCATGGCTCAGCCTCTTCTCAGGTGCAAAGAGCCCCAAAGTCCACGGAAGTCATGCTGGTGGCAGAGTGTTTTTCACTGAAGTAGGCGGAGACCGAGCGCTTTACTATGACACGAGATCTCTCCTGTCGGCCTGCTTGTAAAAAAAAAAAGAGAGAAGAGAAGGCACCCAACTGGTGGAAACAAGAGTATAAATGCCAGGATCACCAACAACATGCTGCCCATGGCTCAAAGTACAATCCGTGATGGGTAGGTGCTGAAACATTAACCAGACCTTGGGAAAGCGTCTGTAGTTGCCGCTTCGTGTCCACAGCAGCCCTCTGGCAAGCCGGGAGCGAGGGCTGTGCTGTTGCTGTGCCGGGAGAAAGGGCACGGCAGTGTTTGCGCAGCGCAGCTGGACCCGCCGGCGATGGCCCCACAGGGTGTGCATGTGTGGGGTGGTGTCAGGGGCTGTAGTGAAAAGTTACGAGATTTTCCAGAGGGGGCCAGCACCCTGAGCCTCCCCAGATGAGCTGCAGGTTGTGGGAAGCATGAATAGTTTACGAAATTGAGGGCTGCAATGGCCAAGGGAGAAGGGGGATACTGGGGATGCTTTTGGGCTCACACCTTGGAAGGTCTGGATCTGGGTGGTGGATTTAGTATTTATATTCTGCATTTATTTATTTTTGCCGCTGGTGAGCTGTGCTGGCAATGAAGCGAGGAGGCACAACAAGCCAGCAGCCGTTCTCGACTGCGCAAGCATTGTAATTGCTGCTCCCTGAACTCATCTGACACCAGGTACGGGCAAACATCCCTCGCCGCCCGGATGGGTGACAGTACATAAATCTTGGGAGCACTCTTGGGAATAATGAGCCTTTTCCAACTCTGCCTTTGAAGTCCGAAGAAGTTGTGTGTGCTTGGTTGATAGACGGTGGCCCGGCGTGGCCCGGCTGTGCGTGGTGGTGCAGCACAGCTCCCAGGGCCTTGTCCTCACCCAGAGGAGGGGACAGCCGAGCTCGACACTCTCAGCTGTAGAAGCTGTCACCTCCTTCCCGAACGTGATACCGCCAGCAGGGAGCTGGCCTGCAGTGTTTTCTGAAGCTTGGTGCTGGGCCAAAAGCCATTCTGCAGTGCCCGCCCCTGCCATATAGGTGTGTAATATTAACTCACCTGGTTTCCGCTGCGGGCTCCTCCACAGCTGCTAACGTATCTCCACGTGTTATCAGTACGTCTCTGCTACAGACTTCCTCAGTCTGGGTTTAAGGGACAACATGTTCCTGTTCGGGAGAAGCAAGGGGATGTCCTGCCCTGCTCGTGCTGAATCACTCTTACCTGGCAAGGGCTGGCAGAACGGCGAGGCCATGTTTTATTGTAGTGTACTACAGCTGCAGAAAAAGTGTTGGATTTGGGGTTTTTATCGGACGACTATTTCCTGATCAGGTTGATGAAGTCTTTAGGTGGAAGACTTTGCCTTCACATCTCTTTGTCAAACAATCGCTCTCCGAGTAGTGATAAAAGAACAAACATGCTCAATTACGACGCTTTAAATCATACAAGCCATTTCCAAAGACAAATAACAAGATCACAGCAGGTGAGTTTTCTTTTAGCAAACACCACAAGACACAAACCATCAACATTCACACGGTGTTCAGCCCACCACAATGCAGCCTCTCCAGCTGGGTCTTTGGAGGCGCACTAGTAGGAATATTAAACCCCACTGAATACCTTCTCATGATATTCATAATTTAACCCCAACCGTGCACGTGTGTGACCAATACCGTGGACTGTGACTGCGGGGCACCAGAGCCAACCCCCCAGTGATGCTGAGGACTGTGCCACAACTCCTGCTCAGCCCCTGCTCCGCACACCATGCTTGTGCCGTGGTGGCTGGAGCCCTCTTAGGTGCTGTCAATATTCTCAGAAGCAACTTCTTAGAAGGAGCAATGTGGGAATAAGTGTGTTACTGTGTGAGCTGTCAGCAGATGTGCAAAGGACTTTTTGTATTGAAAAGGAAAAGAAAAAAAAAAAGCATTAAAAACACCATTGCCATGTTGCCCTCTGGGTTTACACAAATGTGGCACAGAGAAGAATTAGGCTTTTGCAGTTTCATGTTTCCTTGACCTTTTGAGAGAGGAATTAAAAATCGGATCCAACTTCTGCTCCAAGTTACAATGCTGAAAGTCCAGAGCAAATATAATGTACTGGCCCCTGAGGTGTGGGAGCAGAATTTCATCTTGCCTTCTGAAAAACCTGAGAGAGAGCTGAGGTATAAAGAGGCTCAAATAAAAGCTGGATCATCTGAGTGCTAAACCTCTCTCCCAGGTGGGTGCAATTACTGGTGTGTAAGCAGATTCCTTCACCTGCTCTGGTGGGGTTTCTGACTTGGGATCAGTGCAAGGTAAGGAGAAAATACACGTCTCCTCCAGCATGATGTCTGCTCACAGTGTGACGAGGAGCGTGCCGTGGGAAGAAGCTCGCAGCCAGCAGCATCCCTGCTGTGACTCAGCTGCTGGAGCCCGGCGGTGCTGGCCGTGCCTGCTGCAGCAGCAGCAGAGAGGCAGGCAGAGCTGCTGTGCCAGCACCCATGTCGCTTGACACTTAGAAAGCCCTCGGACCATTAACACTAAGCTCATGCATGCTGCATGACATGAAAACATTTCCAGTTAAAGATCATTTCAGACTGTCGTTATATTGACTTACGCAAATGTTGACAAACAAAATCTGCTTGGATTATGCTCTAACGACAAGCTCTGCGTGCTTCAACAGGTTTTCTTTGTTTTGGCTTGGTTTCTTGTATTTATTTTCAGCCGTTCACTGCTAAGACGTATTTTTGTTCTGAGAGGACAAATGCAGCGGGGGGTTGCTTCCTACCTGGAATCTCGACATTGCCTGGGAGAAGCTGGCTGCCACGAATCATCACAGGCAAAATGCTGTACAGCACACACATAGCTTTTTTTTTTTTTTTTTTTTTTCCCTTTTGGAGACAAGCACGTGGCTATTAAACAAAGGACAAGAAGTGAGGGGAGTACACTGCAATTTGCTAATGTGTGGCTGGGTTCCCAGTTCCCTGTGCATTCCTGCAGCCAGACTGCAGTCGTCATGATGCTATTGCCAGGAAAGATGTAAACAAAAGGAAACTCTCTCTGTCAGTTGAAGCATTAGGTTAATCGTGCAAAACAATACTTTGTAGTCATTGAGGTCGAGCCATATGCTCCCTAGTTATCATAGATGTTATTCGCTCTATACAGATATACTGCTTCATTGGCATAAAGGACCAGGTTTTTACATCTCTTTAAATCACAGCAGTATTTACTATGTGGTGAGTCAGGGCACTGAGCAAGGCCATTGGACCCTGTCATGTAGGACTGTGACTTAAAATTCAGGTGCTTTAGGCACAGCTCTTTTGGGATCACTTGGAGATTGGCAGAGAAACGTTTTTCTGTTGAAGTAGTTAAACGATCATCTTTATGCCTCAGTCAAATTTCACAACTGGAAATTATTCTGGGGTGAAGTCTCCTTTTTTTTTTTTCCTGACACTGCAATCACAACTGCGAAACTTCACTTAAAATCAAAGGCCGGTGTTTATTCTGGGTTAAAACAGCTGCTAGCGAGATGGGAACAAGACTCAGACTCTTCTTTCCCACCATGAGGGCTTACACAAGAGCAGTGACAGCCATGAACTGACCTGGAACTTTTAACTCACATTATTTGTGTTAAACCTGTGCCATGTCCTCCTCTAATCGGTGTCTTTTCAGCTGTGTGTGATGGAGCCCTGCCCTGTGCAAGCCCTGGTGTTGTCCAGGGACTTGCATCTCCTGTGTCTTCAGCTGGGGTTTAGAGAGCTGCTTGGGAGCATGATGTTGCCCCAACATGTTTGAGACTTGCAAACTGCATGGTGTACATAGTAGTCGTGGTGGTACTGATGCCCTGGGAAGGGATGTCAGATACTCAGAAACTATTTAATGAAATTTTGCTCCACGACGGGAAGGAATTTCCCCTTCAGCTGTTGCTACAGACTGTAACAGCAAATGCTTTTTTCACAGATTGAATTATTGCAGTTTTAATTATGGTGTCAACCCTCTTCTGCCCCATCCTTCTTCTTTCCACTTTCTCCTTCCCTAGGGCCACTGGTGGGACTCCCTGCTGCAGCTCTCAGTGCCGCAGCCTGTGTTGTCCGTGCTTGTTTTGCCCCAGTACCAAGGCTGAATGCCATGGCAGTTTTGCTGCATCGCCTGTGAACTGCCTGGACAGTGTCAATCTTTTACCTTTCACTGTCAGCGGTTGTGTAGAGAGATGAGGAATGACACACACATAGGTGGAACGGATATCTCCATCTCCCCTTAGGGCTAGGGTAGATATGATTTGCCAGACCTAGCTACAAATTGAAGAAGTCTCAGTATTTTATTTTATTTTTTCCATGTGATAGGAAAGTTTTCTTCCTAAGACCAGCAAAACAACTGGAGCACCCTGACTTATTACCATGAACACTTGTTTCACCACCTTCCCCCACCCAAAAAAAAAAAACAAAAAAACGAAAAGAAAGAAAAAAGGACATGCTAGAGGATGACAAATAGCACAGCCCAATTCATGCAATGCATTAACATCTCACCGCTACACACTTTCTGGAGCATACACAACAAAAGAAGGAATGATTACAGTTCTGGTTCAAGGACCACAGCAATCCAGCGCTGAACACGCACTTGTGAAGCAATTCCAGACTGCAATTTTGAGCACCGATAGCCAGTACAATAGGAAAAATAAGCCACGCTGTATTAAGGACATGCCTTTGATAATTCTCTCTTTATAGCTAAAAGCCAGGGATAGCTGGTAGGCTTGGCATCCCGCTGGGGAAATGGGATAGTTGCACAGGAAGGGGTTGCCTTTTGCCATTTCACATCTATGCTCCCAATTTCTAGCCTCCAGCCTGAACCCTGTGCCTCAGCACGCGGCTGTTTGCACAAGTGACTTATCGTGCCTCCTGCGAGCTACCCGGCACCCAGAAAACATCCTTCTCACTGCTCTACTGCTTTAACTCCTTTCAAGGCCCATCCCTTTCTGCAAACCTTTGACAGCTTTAAAACGTCGCAGAGCAGCAGCTTCCTGGGGACGCTCTGGGGCTGGGCAACCTCTGGATTCTCCGTCGGCACTGAAGCGCTCCAGCATTTCTCCTCTTTGAATAGAGCTGGCAAAATCCGTAATTGCTTCCATTCTGCTTGGCTAGAAAAGAGAAAAAGCCAGGCACCCCACCACGGGGACTGCTCAGCGCAGAGCAGATACGATGGAGGCCTCTGCACCAGGGCTCATCCACCAGAGGTGATGGCTGTGCTCAGGCTGTTTTTTTGTTTGCTTGTTTTCTTTCTCTGTTTTCTCTCTCTCTCTTTATATTTTTTCCCTTTCATGTGTTTTTTTCCTTCCCCTGGGTGGAGCAGCACCGGTGAGGTGATGACTTACCTGCCACAACTTGGGAGATAGAGATCTTGAACTGACAACGTTCACACAATGCCCCAGTAGAGCTTTTCTGGCTCTAATTTCTATGATTATGTTGTTACCGGATCAGTGAAGAGAACCATGAAAAACACAATTACCAGGAAGCCCTGCTCCTTTCCTTGTCTCTTTGTCTTGCTGCAGATTGGGCATGTGACTCACAGAGAAATAGAAGACCGGCTGTATTCGTTTGTATGACCCAAAAGGGTGCTGCCTGCTGATCAGACCCAAGCGTGGGAAAGCCTGGCCGCTGGCTGAAAAGGCCGCTCACGTCATGTTTTGCAGCTGGCAGTCGAACGCATCCTGGTGAATCAGGCGACAGCAGCTACCTTGCCTGCTACGACGGCAGCTGAGCAGGAGCAGAGGCGCTGCGAAAACCTCCCTCCTGCATCGGCAGCACAGGGAAGGGAGGAATGAAGGTTGTCAATGAGCTTGGTACGGCAGGACGGCAATTTTTGGGGGGTCTTTGGCGTGGCACCAGACTAAAGGAAAAGGGGACAGGCAGGCTTTGACTGTGGGTGTTGGTGGCAGGCTTGCTCAGTGCAAGCCCCCTTGTGCATCACGGGCTGCTCGGGCAGACCCCGACCCTTCTGATGCACAGCAGGGAAGGAGAACCTCGTGGGCCGACTGCCACTCCAAGTATTATGAATTGCTATCAAAAAATATTGTCTGTCTCCAAGTTAGCACAGACTCAGCAGATTTGATGGGCAAGCATGCTCCGAAGGGATGGTTAAAATGTGTTATTTGCCTATTGCGTGCTGCAAAAATAAATATCCGAAGCATGAGAGAACAAACCTTGGCAAACAAAAGCGTCAACAAGCTGTGTTTGTGGGGGAAGGCTCATCATTTGGAGGGAACGTTGAGCTGGAAGGGAACACTGAGTATAAATAAGGATAAAGTTTACCTTAAGCAGGCATGAAAGGCAGGGCTATGAGCCACAGCTTGGACTTTGCCATTCTTCCGGTGAGACAAGGGTTTGTAACACCTCTGCTATCTTGTGCTCTCTGATGTGGCCTCACTGCAGAACGATACCAGCCACTGCAGGAAGGTTTTTAAACAATAAGACATTTTTAGTGGGGGCACCCCTAGTTTGTCAGTTTATGAGTGACCAGGGAAGCTGTGAATTCCCGCAGATGAAGGGATCCCACTGTCAGATCTCAGTAGTAAAATATGGTAAAACTTTTAGCTGAAGTTTTGCTGCCTCTAGATCACAAATCTTTTTGATCTCCCTGGGTCTCAAGAGTGGACAAATGGTACATGGTGGATCGCCGGCATGCTATTCGTACGGTTGTGAGGCGTATAGACTGAAATATGTTAAAATGCCAGCATTTGCTGGTACAGCCGAGAGCAGTAACACCATCTGGAAACACTGCTACAGGATTTGGTGACTGTTGTTGTTACACCGACTGGGAAAAACCCAGCCAGAAGGCAAGGTGAAGGGAAGCCCAGCCACTTCTGCTCAGCACCTCAGAGATATTTCGGCCGTCCCTGGGGATGAGCACGGTGTGGCGAAACACTGAGTGGTGCAGAACTGCTCCAGGCCTTGTTGGCCACCGCCCGCCCAACATCCGCCATCCCTGGTGGGATTTGGCCAGTCCCTGTGCAGACGTGCCTTCAGAGGTTTTCCTGAAGATCAGGGGTGGGATGACGGCGGTTTTTGGCCCATGAGGAGCCCTGTGCTGAGGGCACTGCCAGGGCCAGCAGCGCGGCTCTGCACCCAAGACCTGGCAGGATCAGTCTTGGGCTCTGAGCACTAGGAGCGAAACAAGCCCCTGGCTGGGCCTTTATCCTCAGCCACCTCAAGTGAAGCCTTTCGGCGGTTCCGGGCAAGTGAATTTGTATTGAAAACCCACAGCTCTTACAAGCAGTGCATTAATTATTTTATTAATTTGCTCTTTTTACATTATGGGAAACATTCATCTATTTACATTTTCCTGTCCACACACAAACTAGATAGATAATCCTATGAAAACCCAAATCATTAAGCCATAAAAACACTCTCCGCTGTCTAAAGGCTTTCAAATTTGTGTCTTTTGTTTCAAATCAAAAACATTTTTAAAATCACATTTGGGAATGCAGGTAGGCCAGTGATTTACATTCCTGTTACTTAAAATATGTATTTGACCTTTTTCCTTTAAAAAAAAAAAAATCAAAAAAAGAAACAACCAAAAAAACCCAATAAATTCACAAAGATACAGTTCAAATTAAAATGATAGTGCACATCAAAGCGTTAAGGGAACACCAATAAATAAACTGAAATATATTACAAATAAATTATTTCTATTTACCTTTTCAAATATTAAAAATCTTTAATCCATTTCTTCATCTTTCTTTACAAAAAGATTATGAGAATTTCATGGAAACATCTGCAAAAAATATAATAAATACTTTTTTTTTTTCTTTTTAACTTTTGAAGCAGGAGACAAAACCAACCTTTTCTAAAATTTCCCCGAGGAAAAAAAAAAAAAAGAAAAAAAAAAGAAATACTTTAGTACGAAAGTGAAACAGAATATAGGCATTTTTAATATACACTGGGCAGGTTAGACTAAAAACAAATAGTTACAAAAACAGATGATACAGCAAATATACTATTTGTGTATTAGTACTGGTAAATGAGTCAAGTGGTTAACTCGTGGCATTCTAGGGGCAGAAGTATTATATTTTATATTTACCGGTCTTGGCTTTATTTTTAAAATTTTGCTAAAAAACTAAGCAAACATTGCAATTCTCTCTCCAGAGCCAAATGATCTAACAGGCATTCAGCTAAGAATATTTAAAATATATAAGAAAAATAGTCTGTGATATACAAATACAATAATTCTTAATATACAAGACTAGATAGTCTTCCCTTTTCTGCTTTTTTTAGGGGGGCACTTGCTAGATATAAATTTCTGTAGCCACTTGTCAACCAAAATCTTAACTCATCTTTCATAAAACATCCACAAAACTAAATAATCTGAAACACAGCTGTGAATGTGGACTCTCACCTGGATACAGCTTTGTATACCTCAGTACAAATGAGTTCCAAATAATTAATACTTAATATGACTATATGCTCAAAAGTGGCAGTTGGCACTAGTATATACTGCAAACACGGTGAAGTTTCGTTGCTGCTAAAAGTCAGATGAAGTGTTTCAAAACTAGCAAACACACGGGTATTCGAACGCTGAGAGGGTCAAACCTTTCAAAGCTCCTATAACACAAAGCACTCTAGGGTTACACTGGATTTCCGATTACTCTAGTTAAAAGTCTTTTATATATTAAATTATTAGCCCTTATCTTGTAAACCACAGCAGTAAGTATTTGTGCCCTGTTTATAAAGACATAGCTCAGATATCAATGGCTTTGAGAGGTAGCAAATTCTCTAGTGGTTTTAGTATGCTCTCGTGAAAATACTTGGTGCCAGAACCTATTACCTCTCCTATTTTCTTGAGTAAAATTAAATTAGCACCTGGCTATGATGTCGTAGGAAAAGAAGCTGTCTGGCATGACCTCGATGAATACTTTTAGCACGAGCTTCACTTTTCGATGACAATTTCCAATGCTCTGAAAACGCGAGCTGCAGGATTTCGCCAGCCCTGCAGTGGGAAGTCGCAGAGGCTGGGCCAGCTTTTAACAGCTAAGGGCATAGGAAGCCAGCGCTGGTTTGCTGCCCTCAGTGCACACCATGCCCCACCATGGGGCTGGCTGTCCCTAAGCCTGTCCCCAGCAGGAGCAGAAGGCCGCCTTCCTCTCCCAGGTGCCTCAGGTGATGGATGGGGACCACAGAGCGGTCCGGAGAGCACCACCCTGGGACTCCGGGCATAGCCGTGTTGGCCAAACCTGCTGTCCCCAATTCTGCCGTACCCAGCAGGTGCCAGGGAGGCACGCGTGCGCACACCCACACCTTGTTGTCGTTGGCACATGGGGCACAGCTTTCCTCATGTTGGCACAAGAGCTTCCCGCGGCTGAGCGGGCAGAAGCCCCCAGCTCGGCTGGGGGGAGGCTGGGGGGCCAGAGAGCAGGGCCAACTGCTCCCGCTCCTCCCCAGCCCTATTGTCTGTGATTTACCCCCGGTATTAATGAGCTACTTGGGATGCATATTTTTCGTGATTGCAAAACAATGGCAGAAGCGGGGGTAGGAAAGCTTGTCGTGGAAAGAAATTAAGTTCATATTGATCCCGTAACTTGTGAAAAATACTTTATTGTTCTTGTTCAGATGGGTACTTTATACTATTAGGAGGAGACTGATTTAGAAACTTACTCCTAGATAACGGACCGTTTGGTGATAAGCAGTCTGCACGGTAGCATACAACCAGCTGTGGATAAAGCAAAGCCTCGCCTGGAGAAGCATCTCAGGCTCTGTGTACAACAATTCGCTTACAGGTGTTGGTGTGTGGCTGTGTGTACATGTGAGATCGGATAGTCCCACCAAGAGTAAGACATCAACAAAACCAAGCTTTTTTTTTTTTGCCTTTTTTTTTTTTTTAACCAATATAATCCATACAATACAATACAAGAGGAATTGACAATACAGTACAATTTTAAAAACTCTTAATACTTGGACAAGAAAATCCTTCTTTTATATTATCTTCAACTGTTCTTGCTTCTTATCTCCTTCCTTTTCACTCTTTTATTGCCTTTCAAAATAGATTATTTCCCTGGAAGATCGAATTTACAATCTTCTGCTGATTGAAATGTTTAAGTAGTGATTGATGAAATAAAAATGAGGCAGTTTGTGCAGCTGTGAGTGTGCAGGCGTCTTTCCACAGGATCTTTTCTATCCCTCGCCATCTCACCTGCAGGATATGCTTCCATTTTTCACCCCCAGCTCTGTGTTTCTACCTCCCCCTCCCCGCTCCCGCCCCAACCTCTCCCCCCCCCTTTGTGACTCCTTAAATTCAGGTGAGAAGGTGTGATTCAGAGGTTTAGAATAAAGTGCGCCATCTGCTTTAGAAAAAAAAAAAAAAAGTAATAAAAAGAGGGGAATCCGAGTCATAGCTCCTTTCATCTTTTATGAGGAAGACGGCAGAGTCCAAAAGGATCACCCTGCGTGACTGAAATTTCCAAAATCCCCTGCGGTTTGATATTGCTGTACACTAGGTAACAGGCTAGCTTTAGATCAACTAAAGGTTGTGAGTGGGTTAAATGGAGCGCCTACTGTACAGGAGCGCGTGTGCATGGGAGTCTGAGCGCCGCGTTTATTGGTTTCAAACAGAAAGAGGATCGCACTCGTTTACATGAGGCAAGGTGGCAGCATCAGTACATGTGTGACAAAGCATCGTGATGACATGGGCAAACCTTCAGGAAGCGAGGGTGGTTAGAGGACACCTCTTGGAGGACCGACAACTACGCCACGGCGGTGGGATTCATCGGGGTCACCGGGACTGCGTACAGAGAGAGGGGAGGGAGGGGAAGGGGGAGAGAGCAGAGAGAGGAGGAGGTACAAATACTCGGTGGTGGTGACCTGGAGCAGGAGCCTAGAGGGGCAGATTGTACAGGAGACTTGTCTTGCCAGAGAGAGTCCTCCTGGTCGGATCCCTTCATAGCCTGGTCTGGGCTTCGGGGATGTATATCTCAATGCTTTCGGCGCTCTCGGTGGCTGAGTTCTGCCGGACGGACGCCGCGCGCTTGGCAGCCATCAGCCGCTTCCGGGCCTCCTGACGCTGCGAGCTCTCCAGAGAGCGTTCCCGGATGAGCGGCACCTGACCTTTCGATGGCTTCTTTGGCACTGGAGGAGGGACCCTTCTCTCCTGATCAAAGCAGAAGGTTAATGGCATTATACAGCTTCTCAGGGAAAGGCGGGAAAAACTAGGACGCGTCAGTAGTTAGAACACACATTTTACCTACGGTCTGTTAGCTCCTATCTGCCCTTTAGTCTTCAGTGAACTGGCTAGAAACTGAGCTAGAGAGGAGAGCGTCTCAGGCGCGGCCTCGTACCACTGGCACCGCTTCACGCGGCTGAGGAATAAATCCTGCTCTCGGCAGCGCGACCCCGGGGGGCCCCGGCTCCTGCAGCTCTGTTAACAAGCCCGGCTGACCGCAGCCGGCACCGCCGGGACGGGGCCGAGATGTGCACGTCACCTCGCCCCCCAAAAACGGCACCGAGGCAGCGCGAGGTGGTCCTGCGGCAGCGCTGGGATGCGGTGGGCTCGGCATCCCACCTGCGGCTGTCAGCTAGCTGCCTGCGTGCGGTTGGTGCATCAGGGTGATAACCATCAAAAAAAATAACAACAAAACCAGATATTCACGTACATATTTCATAGAAACTTAGTAGCCTGCTCCCAAGTCCCCTGCTTCGGGTCTGCCTGCGCAAGCTTGTATAAACCCTGGCCTCCTGCTAAATAAGCATGCCACACTACAGCCAGCTCTAGCTTGAAAAACTGGTAGGAAAAAATTAAACACCATGAAGGGAACATGCATTAATCATCACGGTGGCGGCTAGCTCCAGATACGCGATTGACAAGGAGGACTTTTATGTACAGCCTGGTGCGTGGGTACAAAAAAAAAAAAAAATCAGAGCGGGATCTTTCCTGAAAAAGAAAAGTGTATTCAGGTCTGAATTTCAGGCGTCCACAAAGACTTTGTCAAGTTAATTAGATTGTCTTTTAAGTTACATCCCCTTCCAACTGTGAACACGGCCTCTGAACGAAGGGATTTTATCACACTACAAAGGTCCCATTCTGCCCTTGCGTTTTCTCTCATGCTGATCACAACAGCGTCCACGGCTTGAAAGATAAAGGTGCTTAGTTACACTTATTCATACTTTGCTTTTTCCCTCCATCCAAGGATTAATCTATGCTGCTTAAAAAGGACCCAATGGCAAAGGCCAAAGGTGATTGCAAATATCATTTCCACATAAAGTTTTTTCTTTTCTTTTTCTTTTTAAGAAATGAGATGTTCTGTTTCATTTAGAATCATAGACAAATGCTCACTGAACGAGGAACACAGTCAGTGTCATTCTTTAAAATGTGTAATCTTTACCTGCCTACCGTAGGTCCCTTTCTTCAGCACTACTTAACTTCCTTTAACCCATTATAGTCTTCTTTTTGTTGGAAACTCTTTGATATGTTTTTCAGAAGCAAACAAAAAGCACAGTTTTTTAAGGAAAGCTCTCGTTTCTTACTGCCACAATTAAAAACACTTGGCCTACCCGCTCGACTAGATAAGCTAACGAAAGACCATACACCAGCGTTTCTGTGCATGCACATTTGGCGTTTTTAACTTCCTTTTCCGACAGATACTGGGAAAAAAAATAAAAAAAAAGAAGATAAGAAAATGACTTGCCTTCAGTACCTCGGGCTAGGTAAACACATTCCCATGCATCCCCCTACAAAACACTAGGTGTGCACAAATGGCGTGAGCATGGCACGACTAAGTCAGGAATGAATGAATATTTAGTCTTGACCGGAGGAGGGAGAGTGCTACCAGCACTGCCTTTGCAAACTTCCTGCTGCAAGATTAACGGGGTTCATTATCGTTATTGTTATCTGTCCAAAACAAAACACCACTTTGGTCATCGGGAGCAAGCTAACCATGAGTTCGGGGGGCCCAGACATCTGGCTGAGCCACTGTACCTGTAGGTCTTGTCCCCCTCCTTCTGGCATCCCTACCTGCTTGCTCTACTCATTGGTACCAGACCAGCCACAGAAAGTCTAACGGAGAGTCAGCCATCAAATTACATACCTACAGGAGCGCAGCAGGGCATTAGACTGTTGGTTCCTCTAGGAACAGACCTGCCCTTTAAGTACCTGCTGAAACATTTGTGTATTTTGGCTCACCCCAGTGCTGTTCGTCTTGATGTGGATTGTGAGGAGAAAAATAAGGCAATGGTGCTGAATGAGAATGGGAAGTGAAATGTGGCTCACACTTGGAGATGTGTTTGTTTTTTCATGGTGACAGAAGAAGACTACGTTTAAATAAAACCCCCAAAGCTCCAGATGATTTTTATGCTCTCTTGGATAAACAGCACTACCAGCCAAGTGGACCTGTTTATGAAATCATCCATTAAAAACAAACAAACAAACAAAAACCAAACCAAACAAACAAACTAAAAAAGAACAACAACAACAACAAAAAAAAAGATGTGGAAGTTCTTTCATGTGACATTTTGGAAGGCATATTTTTGATATTGCTCTGTTTGTAATCTGGTTACCAAAGTCAGTGATGGTTACAGTGCTTCCCTATTTTTTTCAGTAACACAACCTAGAACTCTTGCTATATGCAATAATATGAACCGTAAATGTGATTTATTTAATTTTAAGAATCAATATATAAGGCAGTTCCTTCCAACGATTGATCGCCTAATATGATTAAATGTAAAGCTTAACAAAGTACCACATTCCCATTATCCGATTCACAAAGACAGATTTGGTTTAAAAATATGCCTGAAACATATTACAGATAATATCCCAGATGATTATTATGTAAACATTGTCATTACAATGAAATTAATTTGATATGAGCTTCATTTCACATTTTTAACGTCAACGCTGTAACACAGAGGCCTATTTAATTTGTCCAGTATTTGTGCAGGGTTTTAAATGAAGCATACAAAATCTACAATGTTCTACCTTCTTGTCATGAGGATCCATCTGTTTCCAATTATTGGCCTTTAACTGATGAAGTTCATCAAATTTCATACTAATATTTTCTATGGACAACTGCAGCATATCCCAAAACCCTGCTAAATCCTGGGAGGTCGGCCGTGGATGTGCATTAGGATTCTGTACAACAGAAGAAGAAAAAAACAACAGTTGGGCTTTAGTACCTCTTAATGTAAAGCATTTGTGCAAATGGTTATGAATCTTGCTAGGAAAGCAGTTTCAGCAGAGAGAGCCATCAAGGAGACATGAGAGAGAAACCACAGCGAGCACTGACTGGGTTTTTATTTGCAAAGGGGCTGTGGCAGCATCAAGCCACTGTGCCCCCATGGGCTCATGGACACCACCAGTGGGTTCAAGGATGTCATCCTGATAACACTGAAATCAATTGCCAGCCTCCTCTTCACTTTGACGAGGAAGGATTCCCTGCAATATTGATGCTTGCAGGAACACTGGGACCTGTGAAAGTGTACTGTTGCTGTATGTACACATAGTGATGGACAGATGCACAAACACTTCTCCCACACAATCTGAATCTAAAGGCTACAAAAAGACACCATTTCAGGTAAAACCACTTGTCATACTCCTCAGGCCCTTTTTTTTTTTTAATTTTATTTTTTTTTACAAGAATAATCTCTGCAGGATGAAAAGCTCTGAAGAAAACACGTAGAAGCACAGCAATCTATTTTTTTTTTTCAGGCTCATTTTTGGGAAGAGTGATATGCCAGACACACTGCTGGCCCACAGCTGGTGGGCCCTGGACCTTGAGAGAAGCAGGACAGCCATGGTACCTCTCTCTCTGCACCATACACATCAGCTGCATCATGCTGGATGTGCCATGCAGGGCTTGCAAGTGGGCGCAGTTCATCTTCACCTTCAAGCTCACGGGCCTCAAGAGGAATCCTTATTGCCCAGTGAGCCCAATGTAGTGAGGCTCCTAGCTCTGGAAAGTTTGCATGCGCAGTAGGCATATGTGAAGTGTATAAATACATAAATTATTATTAGCCTCCTGAACGTTGTTTTACTTGGTTCAAGTGTCACTTTATGCTTAGGTTTTCTTCTTCACCTCAGGAACAACAAACCTGAGAATATCCCAAGTTTTGCTTAGGATACTTCTCTTTGTGATTTTCACCTCAACACTGACAAGTGATTTTGGTAGCATGGTTATACCACTGAAGTAGCAACTGTAGAAAACTAAAGTATATATTTTCAGATGCATAAGGAGAATAGAGATTATATCTGCATTCTTAGTTTTTCAGAGTTTGGGCAGGTTGCTCATTGTTGGCTTTACAGAAATGCACAACCACTTTTTTTTTCCTATTAAGAATCAGAAGGCTTACTCAAAAAGAAATTATTTCTGTTACATTCACTCACTGCAGGCAGATTTAGGTTTGGGTATGGATTTTCAAGAGTGCATTAAATGGAGAAGACAGCCACCTCATTGTGCTGAGTACCGCAGGGTTTGCTTTCCCTGTTTTGTGATGACAGAGCATAACACTTAGTGATTTCTGTGCTTCTAGGAATTTATACCAAAACTGGGAATTTAATGTATCTATTGTGCAGGATTGTTAATTAAAGAGTTGAAAAACTTTTGGAAGTGCTGCTGTTTTATGGACTACTGTTTTAGATACATGGTATGAAATAGTTATTTATCATCAGGAATATCATTGTGATACCACCACTACTAATGGCATGAAAATAGCAAATAGTAATAATAATAGCAGTAGCATATACCAGTTGCATACAGTAATAATCATTATAACATTCCGGCTCTTTGCCCTTTTAGCACTTGGGAAAATTACTTTTATCTCTTTTGCTGTTGAGGTGTTGGAGTACCAGCCACCAATCTTCAAGGCCTGATTTCCTGGTATTTCTGTCTCGCTGAATAGAGGCGGCATTGGGATTATGTGAAACTTCTGGTCCACCCTGAAAGACCCTGAGATGGCACCCAAGCATCTCCATGCCCACAACAACCTGAACTCAGGGGTGAAGGGACAGATCTAGCAGCAGAAATTCAGTGATATCTCACCCAAAGCTTTTTGCCTTTCTTTGTTTTAAAGGATCTTAAACTATTAGCAAAACTCATGCTGACTCACTGAGTTTGATGGTGTCACTCCCCAATTCATACCAATTCCTTTACTGGCAGAAGTTGTAGACCCTGCTAGTCAGAAAAGGTCTAGTTCAGGTGATTGTCTTCAGAGACAGTTCCTCTGGCAATAAGAGTTACACAACAGTATTTATCAGCAAAGTTACATACCAGGTTTTCTTCACAAAGTTCTCTGAACTGGTAAAATTTCTGGGCCATAAGGAGCTGGGCACTGCCCACCGCAGTTCGGATTTTCCCTAGAACTGAGAGAAAAAAGAGGCGTAAGTCATGGTGTTCTCCTTGCTGCAGCCAACCAAAAGCCTACAAAATGAGAAGAGAAAGCTGTGCAGGAACCAGCTCTAGGTTTCCTAAAGAGTGTTGTCTCTCAGACATGGGTTATTGGCAAGATGACAATGCTGATGGCAGAACTGCACTAGGCCAAAGCAGGCTGCAAGGGCTCTCAGGTCAGCCTGCACTGGCAAAATATTAATCTGTTGGTACAGCTGCCTTTCATTCTTCAATGAAACAACTTCCAGCTGGCACAGAGCACTTTCATGGCAGTACAGGTGTGACTGATCAAAAGCTTTTGCACCCTGCGTAGAAAGCACACAAGATATTGCACCTCCAGACAACACCGGGACACAGGCTCAGGCTGTGAACACAAACACGGCTTCCTGCACCATGGCATTCAGCTTTCCAAAACTGTCATCAAGCACACAGTTTGGAAAACACTGCTTCTACCAGCATCTCTGCCATCTCGTGCAGCAACGTGACGCCTTGTTTCCAGGTTTAACTGCGTGTTGCTTGATGTGAGCCCTGGAAAGGGATTGAGGAATTGAGGATTGTAATACACACAGATAAATCTCATCCAGACCCTTTGAGTGGTTTTTTTTTTTTTTTTTTTTTTTTTTTTTTTTTTTTTTTTTTTTTTCCCCATGGGCAGTATTAGAAGTGGCTTCTGCTGTTGAATGCGGGTACCCAGACACTCTTCAGGGAGCACTCACACCCTGGCCTCTCCTCCTCGCTGGTCCTAGCCTGTCTCTTGCACTGTCTGGAGCAGCTCTGTACAGAGGGTGGGTTAGTGGTGGTCTCCTCCCTTTCCCTGCCAGCTGAAATAACTTTCTATCTCCCAATTCTTTGGTTAAAAAGATATTTAAATTTTCACTTAATTTAATTAAAAATAAAATAAAACAAACAAAGAAACAACAAACCACTTCAGTGAAAACCATGAATGGCAACCATTGTGTCACCATTTCACCACTTCTGCTCACAGATCCTTGCAGTACCCGCTGCCCCAGACATCAGATAAGTACAGCAGCTTTTCCATGACAATTCCACAGTGGTGATGGAGGGACAGGAAATACAGAGACCTGAAGTGGGCTGCTCAGGGTGAGTGAGTTGCTGGCAGAGCTTGAAGAGTTACTAGTCCTAAACTCCCACTCTTTGCATCATCCCATCCCTTAGGCACAGTCACTTTTTGTGTAAAATCTATCACAAAGGTGTCAGAGCTCCACTGGAAAATACTGCTGAGTATTTTGATAGAAAGGAAAGGAAAGGAAAGGAAAGGAAGGGGGAAGGGAAGGGAAGGAAGAGGAAGGAAGGGAAGGAAAGGAAAGGAAAGGAAAGGAAAGGAAAGGAAAGGAAAGGAAAGGAAAGGAAAGGAAGGAAAGGAAAAAGGAAAGGAAAGGGAAGAAAGGAAAGGAAAAGGAAAGGAAAGGAAAGGAAAGGAAAGAAAGGAAAGGAAAAGGAAAGGAAGGGAAGGAAGGGAAAGGAAAGGAAGGAAAGGAGGGAAAGGAAAGGAAAGGAAAGGAAAGGAAAGGAAAGGAAAGAAAGGAAGGAAAGGAAAAGAAAGGAAAGGAAAGGAAAGGAAAGGAAAGGAAAGGAAAGGAAAGGAAGGAAAGGAAAGGAAAGGAAAGGAAAGGAAAGGAAAGGAAGGGAAAGGAAGGGAAGGAAGGGGAAAGGAAAGGAAGGGAAAGGAAAAAAGAAAGAAAGAGAAAAGAAGAAAGAAAGAAAGAAAGAAAAGAAAAGAAAAGAAAAGAAAAGAAAAGAAAAGAAAAGAAAAGAAAAGAAAAGAAAAGAAAAGAAAAGAAAAGAAAAGAAGGAAAAAAATAGAAAAAGAAAAAAAAAAAAAAGAAAAAAAGCCCTTCTTTTTTGGGGTCTTGCAGTCCTGTGACCAGCTGCAACACGTGTTCGCATTGTGTGACCAGAATGCGGCCGTGCAAGGCTTGGTAAGAGAAAGGCATCTCCTAGGGATTTCGCTCACGAATCACACGCTAAGCAAGCTGGCACAAACACCCACCGCGAAGCGAAACCAGACGCACAGTAGTGGGAAATCTGTGCTCTGCTCCTTAAGGGCAAATGGCTTTTCCGTCAGCAGCCTTAAAGCTCACTCCTCAAGGAAAAGTGGGATGTGGAGTTCATTTATACACTAGACATACAAAGGAAAGAAAAAAAAAAAGTGTGTGTGTGGGGGAAGGAGAGAGTCTTTTCACATTTTTGGGGGAGCTATAGGAAAGAGCTCTGTGAACACACACAGAGCCCAGACTTTCATTTTGTTCCCAGAACTCAGCTCAGCGCTGCCAGGAAATCGCCGTGAGCTGGAAGATCCACCAAGCAGAATATTTTCAGCATATTGCGCAGGGAGTTTTGCACACAACTCTCATTATTGTTAGCAAGGCTTGCGTGTCTAATTCTATGCGCACAGTACTGAAAATGGACCCCTTGGTGTGTCTAGTCATTTATGCAACCCAATATGCAAACCACTCAACTGAAAGGGCTCTTCAATAGTAGGAGGAGCTTCTCCGCGAGCTTTCATGTGGTTCCCATTGTTATGAAAACTCTTCCCACTGAGTATATTTGGGAACAGCTGCCTCATCTGGAGCTCGGCCACTCTGACGCTTCCCAAGACTTGGGAAGGGGAGAAAAACAGTCTCTCAGCTTCTCGGGAGGGGAAAACAGATGAGACAGGATCCTCCTGGAAAGCTGCGCTAACTGAGCGGCGGTCACATCTGAGCACCAGCAGATTTAAACACACCTTGCTGGCAGTGGATGGGAGCATGCCCCTTCCTCTGGGGGGAGAAGAGCTTAATATTCAGAGATCTCAGCAGAGGGAGAAGGAAGTCCTTGTCCTTGGCTGCCTAGCGACTGGCTATTTGCCGAAAAAACCATCATCCCAGCTGACTGTGGGATGCATGCTGATGCTGTTCCCTATTGTTGCCACTTCTGCTGTAGCCGCGGCTGTATCTAGTCAAGTGTCACTGATTCCTCGCCCCTCCAGAGCAAGCAGTCTGTTAATGTGCAACCAGTCAACAACCAACTCCGTCACGGAAGTTAGGAGAAAAAAAAAAAGAGAGGGGGGGGGAGGGGGACAAAGCATGCGAAAGACTGAAAGGAATCTCTCCAGAAGGCACAAAGCCTTATCAATAGCCACAGCTCTGTTTCCAGACGCGTGTTGCTTTTAGTGTTTGGAGGCAGAGTGCCCAGTTTTCTTACTCAGTCAAAACCTCCAGTGCCAAAGAGAAAGGCCAAGGTGTAGTAAAATAAAAAGTCGAAACAGCCTGACACTTTCTTAGCAGAAAATCCTGAGAGGTTTTAAGCCATACGCTGAAAAAGTAAATGGAATTGCAAAATTCCATCCAAAATGCATCAGAAAAGAACCAGAGAGAGCAAGGGGAACAGCACAAATACATATAAACATTCAAATCGATGTTTTCAGCTAATAGGACACCAACAAAATACATAAAACCAAGTAACAGCAAAGAATACCAACCCATCAAGATGAAATCATAACAGATTTAAACACCTATATAATGTTATTCATGCCTGCTTTCTTTTCCAAACAGGGTTATCCCGCACACTCAGCACCGTCGGATCTGAATGCCTTCCAGTAATGCATGAAGCAATGTTATTAACATCCATCATATGCTTTGCTGTCACCCCGTCCCCAGGGGGAGAAGCGTGTACCGCAGTGTTTTTGTTTTCACAGTCTGATTTTTATTTATTTATTTATTATTTTTTTTGCTTTGCTTTGACCTCTCTTCCTTGTAAATCCACTTATCTCCTGTAATGACTTTTAAGAAATAGACAGTCATGTCTATTTTGGAAGAACTGCTTTTTTTTTTTTTTTACAGCTGTTTTGATCCAATTCAGTTCATCTGGAGTGCCTCCTCGCTATTATTGCTGCAGACCAGAGGCCACAGAAAGTGATTCTGGGATAGACATATGCTGGGGAATTTCCTCGTGTCCCTTAGCCCCTAGTCTGTTGCCTTTTTAAAACATAATGAAGTATAAACTTAGTATGTGCTGTTCAAGCAGTACGTGGTTGCTTCTCTTAGTTCTAAAAATTGCATGGGACCTACTGTGGGATGGTATTGTTATAAGTATCCGCCCTAAGTTTTCATGGGAAAAGAAATGAAAAGGATTTAAAATGCAAGCAAAGAACTGGTGATACCGTCACCTGCCCCACCTTGGAAGGAGACTTTATAGGTCACAAGGAAAACAAAAATGCAGGAAAACAACGAAAACCAAGCAAACCGAAGTGATGTGAAAAGTCATCACGTAGGAGCCAGGGGAGTTGTGGAGGAATGACCACCTTTCTGGGTCTTAAAGCACCAACCAATCTCTTTGCATTTCAACTTTGCCACCATGCCCTGGGGGCCTAAGGAGCGAGGAAGGAGGCAGGCAGGGCTGTGGCTGGCAGGTGCCCCTGGTGGGACAACACCTGGCTGGCCGCAGGGCGAGGACCAAGTGTCAGGAGCAGTGGCAGGGGTGGCAGGCACCCGGGCTGACATTTGCCTTGCAGATGTTAGCTGCGCACTGTGCATATGAAGCAACCCTGCCATAGAGCTGTCACAATCCATTTCCCGGCCAGGATGGACCAGCGTTTTAGCCTATTCATCCCGACAGAGCTACATTTAAATAACGCCAAGCATGACAAAAGCCAGGAAATTCAGAGTTAAGGCTACTGCTCAGGTTTTAAGCCCAGCTATTAAGGAGAAAACAGCCAAATGGAGCAAACTTTGGAGCAGGCAGTCCTTGCTTTGAGTCATATTTACTTATGGGAGTGATCTCATTGAAATTAATAGGGCTGTCTGCATGAGTAAATGCTATTCACTGGGAGTAAAGCAGTTTCCATGTGCCCTCCGACTTACTTGGCTTCTATTAGCACACTTCACGTTTTTTCCCTAGCTACGTCGTTTCACTGCTTGTGGATTTCTTTTTTCTCTGCCAGCCTTTGGACGCCGGCAGGGCTGCCGGCCCGGAGCTGGCTTTCCTTGGAGAAACGCCGGTGTGTGGAGAAGTCCCTTCCAGGGAGAAGCTGAACATGGGAGCAGGAGGAGGAGGCGTGGATAGGGTGTGTGACCAAAGGTGGGCAGCCGGGGGCTGTATGTCGGGCTGGTGGCTGTCCCTGCATGAGGCTGCTGTGACCCAGGATGTCCTGCTACCACCCTGGGGATGCAGTCAAAACAAAACAAAGCAGCAGGAAGCACCCAGACCGTATCATTTGCTAGAATTGGCCGAATTTACAGACTCCAGTCTGAAGGTTTTCACAGATTTGGAGCCAAGTTCTGCTTGCAGGCTAGTCCAGAGGAGTACAACCTACACACAAGGCAGTGAGCGACATGTCTTGTCAGAGCCTTGCTTTTCCATTTCAGGTGTTTCTTCACCAGCCTGCCTCTCCTTGCCACTAAACCCACACCATGGCAGACTTGTGGTGAATCAGGCCCGCTGTTTGCTTTCGATGGTTATCTCAGCACGGGAGTTACATTACAGCACTGCACGGAAGGGAAGCGTGCCTGCCAGTGCTCACAGCTCGCCTGCCGGCTCTGTCGGAGACCCGAATGCCCCACACAAATCCCAAACAACAGAAGGAATCCAGCAAAAGCCAGGCCAAGCTGTGGGGTTACGCCGCTGTGAAATAAAGAGGTCAGCTGCTGCCTGCTAGCAGCGCTGCGAGGCGAGCCAGACCTGTTGCTGCTAATGCTGAATCCGTATAGCATTAATTGCTGGGGAGGCTGAAGCAAAAAGTCGTCAACGCCAGCAGCCAGGCTCTGACTGAACTGAACGGCATTTCGCTGGGCAGAGGTGGGCGGAGAGAGTGGAGGGGAAAGAGAACAAAACAAAACAAAACAAAAGGCAAATGCTTGATTTCACTTGAGGCCTGATCCAAAGCTTCAATCAATTCTTATAGTGTGTTTAGCCTCACATCTGTAATTAACTAATTAATTTATTTTTTTAATGAGAGCACTGGATTTTGCAGCCAACACCCCTATACCAATAAAATACACAGAAGCCTTATCAGGTACCCTAGCCTGAAGTGTGAGTGCTCTTCACCTGCCTGTTACACACACTACAGTTTTATCAGAAAATGATTTCAGATAAGACCAGAATATACCAGACAATAAATAATTCAGGGTGCGGGGGGAGCCGTATTTCTCCCTATATTGGCATTTCAGCGGGCAGCCACCGCCCCGCAGCTTGTTTTTATACACAGCACCAGACTCCATTCCTGGCTCGAAGCGTTCGGGCCCATCTGGCAGATTCGTTCCCAGCTAGATAATACCCCACGTCTCCCCGTAACACACCAGCTACTGTCAAGCAGCAGCGAGCCGGCTCCCCCGGACAGCTGTTTCGCACAAGGGCCGCATTGTCTGCAGGCAGCGCGGATCGCTTTACGGGGAGCGCCGGGGGAGAGAGCCCTCCGTCAGCTGCCACGGCATCCAGAAAGCCTCGCTCGTCGCACGCTGACATTATTTGGTTATCTGGCCAAACACGCGCTGCGGATGGCGGGTCGAAACAAAGGATGCGCTCCCTGCCCCGGTTGTGTTTCATCAGCTACACCGAACCGCACGCACCTCTTCTCTCCCCCTCTTCAAAGTTTGTAGATGTATAAAAAAGGCGTAATTTGGGGCTGGGTTTGTAACAACCAAGCTTTTGTTTCTGGCGCTGCCAAGCGGGCTGCGTGGCCCCACCATATGCTTCTCCTTGGCACCAGGTAGAGCGGGACGTGCCGAGCCCTGCGGGAGGCAGCTGCCCCGTGCCGGAGTGGCCAGCAGCATCACGCCAGGATCAGTGACTCGGCAGGGGCTGAGCAACGTAGGCGACCCTTTTTCTCCTCCTGCTTACAGGAGAAGTGCTGGGCAGAAAACTCCAGAGGGGGAACATCCCGCAGGACACGTATCGTGTGTGCTATGAGGGGCATTGGTAAGAGCCAGCCCAGCTATGCCTTTATCTCCCTCACAACAGACTTCTCTCACTGACGGTTAAAAGAGCTTTCAAACGATCATATATCAAAGGGAGAAACTTCTGCACACAGACATACACTTTCTGCATGTATCAGCCCTGTAAAATCCACGTCCTTTGCCTAAAGTGAATAGCTCCTTCAGTGGACAAGTAAAATATGTAGGCCTTTCCACTATTCATTGTGGCAAAGAGAAAGCCAGTGGGTTTTGTGGCTTGGACTTCCAAATGTTTTGTCATTTCCTATTTTGTTATGTGCTCACGCATCAGTGTCAATCTAAATTCTCTTAGTTCATGGCTTTATTTCTCACATAGTAACAGAAGAAAACCTTTGCATTCTGGTACATGTTCAATGAGATTTTTGAATGTATTTATAATGTAAATTAAAAATGAGATTAAAATACTCTAAAACTTGGGGAATCTGGTTGTACTTTGAAGGTTAATCCTTCTGTATTTTCCCCCAGAGGAAATAGCTAACCTATTATATAATAGGAATTTTGTAGAAATAGAAAAACTGAATGTACATGTTAATGTAAATGCTAAGGTTATCTCATACTTTCCATTAGAAGTCAATTTCCAGTTGCTTACAGTAATGTCTAACTATTTAAATCAAACTTCTCTATGGTTATTTCCTACACTAGGTCAAATGGAAAGTTTCAGCAGAAATGGATTATCCATTACTAATTATTTAAAACCTACATTTTTTTGTCAGTGTTGATTCCTTTCCTTTCACAAATCAAAACCTTCACAACTCAAAAGAATTACAGATGAATTTGAATTTTGGTAGAAGGAATCCTGGAGCTGAAGTTGTAGGAGCTCCAGTTGTAGGAGTTTTAGGAGTTTGGTAGGACTTTATTTTGGGGTTGTAAAAGTGGTATTTGCTATATCCAAGAAAATACACTTAGGTCTCCCAGAATTATAAAATAATGAAATCTTAATATTCAGGTGCTCATTAGTGATTTCTAGAAGCTCCCTCTGAGAATTTGAGAAAGCTTCATTCACAAGGAGCATGCTACTCAGCCCACAGATTTACCATGTCCAAAAATTGATGGCTAGCAATAATACTGCTCCTTGTAATGGAAATAAATGGAAAAAAAAGATCTGTTTTTACTGGAGGAAAAAATGCTGGACAGGGAGCCACTTGTTTACCTCTTCTTCCCTAATTAGTGTGAATATATAAGGCATAAGCTACCCGAGTCTACTTACTAGTGAAGGTTTACTAGACAGGAAAGTGTCATTCCCACTACTTTATGGGTGGGGTAATATGTCTTGTAGCGGTGACAACTAAGATGTAGGTTGCATGAGTGTGTGCATTTATCACAGAATATGGAGAGCTTTTTTTACCAGGAGGGTCAAACAGGAGTGAAAACTGCAAGAGACATGAGGGGAGACAACAACTTAGAAGCAAAACTTGTAATTTGTTTCAGCTAGGGAGATGCATATGAAGGCTCTGATGCAAATTACCTTTCTAAAAAGGCAGTGAAAATATGAATTTAATGAAAAGGAACCAGAATCTGTTAAATTATACTCTAAGGTTGTGAGAAGTGATTTCAAATGGAAGAGTTACGAAACATCAATACTGCAAGATCCCTATCCAGGATCTCCTAATTATCCATTAAAGTATGCAATACTAAAAGCTACTATCTCTTGAGTTTCAGAAGTGCTGAGCATTTGCATTCCCTGTCAACTTTAATACACATTATTGTATACATGCATACAGTCCTTCAGAGAATCACTGACCATAGCTTCATTAGCTAAGTAAGACAGGGCATGATACAGAATTCACAGGAGTCAGATTGGCCTATATTAAATACTTTTTTTCTAGTTGCAATATTATTGTAGTCAGTTACTTACTGTCCTCAGGTAAGTTGTTTTCCCGTTCTTCTCTCTCCATCTGTTGGCACCAGCCCTCCATACGATCTCTCTCTGCCTGAAGTAGCTTCAGAAACCAGTGGCCATCTCGTGGGCACACTGACCTTTGAACAGCCTCCAGAGGATCTTCAGTGATAGAGTCAATCCAGGGGTCAGGAGGAGGTAAAATGGATGGATCAAAATCTGTGTCAAAGTCATCATCCACTGCACATGCATGGTAATGGTTTCCTGACCCTTGTATGCTAACGGTAGAGGTGCTTGCATCTCGGGAAAATTGTCTTGACATTTGTCCAGAACACATATTGTCCTCTTGAGGGTCGATTATTTCAAAGTTCTCATGGAAATCCAGGTCTGCTTGCACGGCTGTTGTTACACTATTAGATCGTGTAAACCTGCGAAAGCTTTGGAGGGCACAAACACAACATGTTTAGCAAGCTTTGGCTAGGTGGCATGAGATAAGTTAGGTAAGAAAGGACCTATTACGATTCTGCCTCTCCTCCTAAGAATAGCAGTCATGGCTCTCATTGCTACATTCTGGTTTTTCTTGAAATGATCAGCATAGACTTCTTTTCTCATTGCAAGCCAACAAACATCTCTCTCTTTTGCATGCAAGCTCACTGCTTACTGAGGCAAGCACGCCTAATTGTGTCATTTAACAAAGCCAGAGGCTAGCCCAGGAGATAGCTAATAGTGTTGGTGGCTCAGGATTTTAGGTCACCAATTCATGGAAGGTTAAAAGGGCCTGATTTGAAGCAGTGGCTGCTCTTTCAACTTCTAAAACTCACCCCTCTTTGAAGTTGTACACCTGAACTCACAAGTCATATTTCAAAAATCATTCACATGAGATTGACAAGAAAATAAAATCAATGAGTCCGCTATCTAATATCATACATTACATTTATAAAGAAGGTAAGTTTTAGCCCAGCTAAGTATTTTGTATTGCTTATTCATAACCGCTCATCGTAATTATGTACTTGCTAATTTCCTGCTTCTGCAAATACCAGTGCCAGCTCTCAGTTCTAGCACCCATTCCCAGTGTTAAGACCTTTTATTTTCCATATTCAACCCCTGGTCTCAAAACAGGCTCTTTTCCACAAAAGTTAACTTTCTCAGTTACTGTCCATGTTACCCTCATCATGACGGCTGCTACCCTGTAGATAGCTTCCTTTCATCTTGCATTACTTCCATATGTTGGAGCCTTTGAGGGCAGACAGCAAAACCTTGTGAGATTGCAGGAAAGCCCAGAAGGGTGAAGGCATAAGCATGGGAAAGAGAAGGTTTGGAGGTTTGTGTTTGAGTGTTTTTTTTTTTTCTTTAAGTAAGTAGCACCCCAAATTCTGCAGTCCAAGGAATCTGAGGTGGCGAGGCAGATAGAGAAGGAGCAGAGGGATGTATGAGGAGTAAAAGACACATAATGCAGTGTAGGGGGTGGCAAGTGAGAGCAAGTATGACAGGCAGTAAATTGTGAAGGGATTGAGTGGAAAAGACGCTGGCAAATAATTTTAGATAGTCAGTGTAGCTCTAGAAACTGATATGCTGAGGAACACAAGAAAAATTCAAGTGAGGCAGGTATCTGTCTTGCCCCATGATGGAAGGAGATAAAGAAGGTAAAACCATAAAAGTAATTAACATAGATGTTACTTAAATCAATGATATTTAAAATTAACGTAGTTTTGAATTGAATGGGGACAGATTCCCAACCCTTTTTACTAATCCAGGATGCCACCACACTCAGGCAGCTGATAATGCAGTCTGAATTTATTCACAATCTCACATTTACTCTTGAAACTAGTGTTAGGACCCATTTCTCTGTGATATTTTGGCTGTTTTGCCCTCACCAGTGCTATTTTTAGCTTGAGTTTGAGCAGCAGTGAAAATCTTGGTGACAGCAGAGCTGGATGCTGAGAACCATTTAAACTTCCCTTCATTTATATTCCATCTTCCACTGAAGAGTAACAGCTGATTAGACAAGTATGACTGACAGCACTTGGGCAAGTGTCTTTAGTCTGCAGCTGGGGAGGGAGCAGATGGAAGGATGCTGAAGGAGAATTTCAGGTGCTGTATACCTGATCCATCCAGATACATAAGGAACAGTGCAGCAGACTTCAGGGAGCACTGTATCAAGTCCTGCTGGTAGAAGATATGAATGGTGGCTGATGTAGGGCAAAGCAAAACAGGAGTCAGGAAGGGTTCTTCAGTTAAAAAAAAAAAAAAAAAAAAAAAGGACCAATTCCTCTGCAGAAGAAAGCTCAAAGTATCTTCTCAGCCAAATTGGTTGCTAGAAAACCTTAACAAATAGATTGTATTTTTTTATAATGGTCTAGAATACAAAAATAAAATAAATAAAATAAAATAAAATAAAATAATAAAATAAAATAAAATAAAATAAAATAAAATAAAATAAAATAAAATAAAATATGCAGCAGCTGCTGCTTGCAGTTCTTTAGAAACATGTGGTTGTTAAGTGACACAGAAGCCATGGCTATGTTGCTGCAGTTTTGCATGATATGCACCAGCAAACCGAAAAATATTGTGTGAGCAGAACTCTGCAGCTTGGCAGTATTTATCCTTTGACAAACAGAGCGAAGCATTTTGCTATGGACTGATACAGCAGAAAAAGTTCAAAAGGGAGGACAAGGATAATTGGCGATAAGGTATGGCTCCCACAGGAGGAATGATACTTCTTAGTTTACAAAAGAGATGGCTGAGGAAGGCTATGAGAGTGCAATGAAATCCTGACTAGGTGGCATTTCACCATTTTTGAGGGCAGGAACTGCAGGGAGGAAGGTAGCTGTTTGTAAGGCTTAGAGGTCTGAAGATTTAAATCTAACAAAAATAAAGTACTTCTTCACACAGTGTGTAATTGTAATTAAGCACTGCTTATACACACCCTTCACACTTTTGCTTTGCACACTTTCCTTTAAATTTTTCATGAGTATCTGCTACTGGTCCTTGGCAGAGAAAGCTGTTAGACTGGTATTAATGGTTAGAAAGACTTGAGCTTTAGGCTGACTTTACAGTGAAAAGGTTTTGGTCCAGTCTGTGTCATATATTTTTTTTTTTAAATACTGTTTGAATTTGGCTACCAACCTGACAAATCCCTTATCCCCATCACTGAAGTGCATGCTTGCACACTCACATACACACTAATGTGCCCATACTGGCACCTTGCTCACACAGGATCTCTTTTCAGTCATTTAGTCTGGGTTTGCTAAGAGCCAAGCCATTAGTACAGTGCCCTCTTCCCCACCTTCCAGAGTGAGAAAAGCAGGAGAAAAGCAATTCCCATAATCCAGCCTCCACAGAGGGAGGCTGGATCCTTCTCCATGACCCTACTTCCACACTCCTGCTCTTGCTTTCTGCAGTGCCATAGATTGTGATTTGCTTCTGTTTTAGATGACCATTTATAGTTTCAGAAAACACCCTGGCTTTTCAGCCTACACCAAATCCCAAATGTGAAAACATCGAGGTCTACTTGCCAAGAGGATGTACTGCTGGAGGCACTACATTTCAAAGCTTTCAGGAGCATACTCTTACTGGGTTCATTATGAGCTAGTACCACCAAAACCAGACTCTGCTCAACAAATAAAACAGAATGACCTACTTTCTTTTGCCTTTGTTTTATCTATATTATGGTATGCTACAGGCTTGCTTGACAGATTCTTGGCAGTGGATTGTGTAACCTATCTGTCTTCAAAAGAAAAACAACTTGGCAATAGAATATAGCATCAGTTCAAAATTAAAAAAATACTCCCAAGGAAATGTATGCTGAATGACATGGAAATACAGGAAGGCATCCACTATCTGCCTACCTCCAGCACATCTACATAAGCCACCTAAGAGATGGTAATCTTAGCCTCTGACATAGTTTCCTCGCTCACTTCCAGGATGTTTTGCTCTTGCGACACACCGTTTGTGTCCCACATGTGTCCTTTTTGTTTTGCTCTCACTTAAAGCTCCTTACCACAAGAGAGCTGTTGAAGCTAATACGTAAGTTTTCACTGTCTCTACACATACAAAGCATTCACGGGTCTACCTAAAAAAATAAGAGTTCAGAAATTGCCGGTAATTGTTAAAAACAGAGACTTCCTTCTTTCTCTGCTTTCAGGCTTGGTCCTTTTGTATTCAGTTGTGCCCTGCAGGCACAAGGTGTAATAATTACAGCTTCAGAGAACTACAGCAGATACCTGGCCTAAGGTGCAGAAAGCCATGAAACCTCAGACTGGATAAACCAGTATGGAGAGCAACACTAGATCTGTTTTGAACAGCAACAACGGGGTCACTTGTTAGCATTTGACTCTCTGCTCCTAAATGTTCTTTTGCTTTCTTTTGAAAAACATGTTTACATTTCAACTTGGAGAACTTACTTCTTTCCTAAACAAACAAACAAAAACCAAAACACAAAACCCAGAAAAGATGTCGGTTCCAAACCAACTGACCCATGGCAAGTGTCAGTGGCTCATACATTAGATTAAACCTGCCTCACTCTACCTATTGGCTATATTCTTTCTCGTTGTGGGTTTGTCTGCTAAGCTGGAAGCCACCCTCAGCAGAACAAAACAAAACATCCTGATGGCAGGATCTTTGGCCATACATCTCCAAGCTACAGTGTCATGTTCTTTGCCCTACACCTCCCCCTCTCCCACTAACATAGGCTTTTTTCATTGCTGAGAGTCTTAATGGCAAAACTATAATCCCTTATTATTGTTTCATGTTACCAAAATCCTATAGAATTTCTCAGTTGAATGGCTCCCACTGTGGAGAATGCATGCAGCCATAAAATGCTGCAGATCAAAAATCAAGGAAAGATCAGTCCCAGTTCAGTTTAGCTAAAATACGGATTTGAATGTCATGTCCTAAAAACTAGAGTTAAGACGTTTGAATTAGAGCTTTTGATGGGCCCACTGTGGAGGGAAGACCCTAAAACTTGTGTATTTTTTTTTCAGGACAATATGTCAACAAAAACAAAAACCTACATGAAAAAAGAGAAAAATATGGCCTTATATGGTAACAAAAGCCTAAGTGATTTTTTTCCCCAAAGATACAGAAGATTTTTTGTTTTGTTTTGCTTTGTTTTGTTTAATATTACCTTATCACCACTTCAAAATGTTTCATTTGATATGGTGTGGTGTACCACACTTTACAGACCCATAGAAGCCAGAGAAGGTGGAGGAGGAGCATGTACCCATGGTCTTAGTCTCCTACGGCTGTCCTTAGTCCATAAGCTACCATTATTTCAGCATTCATAAATTCTTGTGATGGCAAACCAAGTAAAATAACCAGCTGATAGTACAACTAGGAGCAATGAGCAAGATAATTTTTGGGGTAAGGATGTAAGGGGAGGAAATGTGGTGGCACATAGTAAGATGCAAGAGATTTTAAGTAATTAAAGAGTTATGGGACTGAGAGCTGAAGGGATGTGCCCCTTGTTCAAAAAGGATATATGTGTGCTAATTGGCCTGGGATAATATATGGCTTCTTTTTTTCTGGTTCAATAGGAACAGTTGACTTCCAACAATTCAATTATCTTCTGTAAGTGAAGAATGGAAGGTGGTCCCTTGAGGTCAAGGAGGAGCCCCAGGTAGAGAGAAAGGACAAACTGGAGTGGAAGTGCCCTGAGTTTTGTTAGAAATACCTTTCAAAACTGCCTCTGGAAGGGATGGGTCATGTGAAGAAAGGGGTGGAACATTTCGTTTGGGGTTTTGTAAGCATCATGAGGGAGATCAGGTGAGATAAGAGTAACAGCAGGAAGAGGTCACTGTTGAAATAAATGTATGCTATTTTTATTTTTATTTTTATTTTTATTTTTATTTTTATTTTTATTTTTATTTTTATTTTTATTTTTATTTTTATTTTTATTTTTATTTTTATTTTATTTTTATTTATTTTTATTTTTATTTTTTCCCCCAGGAGAAGGACTGGACTGTGGAACTCTGTAAATACTAGAAATGTTAGAGCTGCATTTAGAGGATGGGTACGAAAAGGAGAATTGAGAACAGACAGAATAAAGAACGGAGGATAAGACGAACAGCAGTGATGGATCAAGTTATAATATGGTCAGGTAGCGGTAGGCACATTTATCCCTTGAGCAGTGTAAGAGGAGGAGGATTCAGTCATTTGTCTTGGCAGGAAGCCCAGGTTGCAGAGAGTGAAGGGCTAATGAAAGGTCTGAGCTGAGGTGGAAGATGGAAGAGATATACTGTGCTCCAAAGATGCTCTGGTTTTGAGCCACTTGGATCAAGAAATGGAGGCAAAATCTTTTGCTCGCTTGGTCCAAGCACAGAAGCAGGAAAAATTAAAAGGACATGAGGAGGTAAGACTCCTTAGGGCAAGAAGGACCGTCACATTAGGTGAGGGAAAGGGGGAGGAAAGAACAGGAAGCTAAAAAGAGGAGTGAAACAAATTTTGTATGGTAGGCTTTTGGTGCATTAAGCAAAGAGATTTCCTGCTTTAGAACAGTGCACTTAATAGCTTTGACTGGCACAAAAACATGATCAATTTACTGTATTTATATCATTTGCTGTGTCATTCTTCTTTTTTTTAGATTATGTCTATTTAATATTTCTGAATCTTGGAATAATTTTTTAAACACTCATTTGTCATGGATTCAGTTTGGTAGAGCTTTTCGGAGGTTCTGCAGTTCCGGTTCAGGGGCAGGGAGAAAGGCACTGTATTTACAATTCCGTTCCTGTAACAGATAATCAATACATTGTGCTTTGCTGTGTTAAAAAATAAAAATAAAAAAGGAGTACGAGTGCCAAACTGTGCTGATAAACCCTTTGTTTCTTAAGTACACTCATTTTCTGAGGATTAAGGGCTGTCCTTTATCTGCCTGTTCACTTCTGAAAGTCCATGATAGATTGCTGCTTGTTCATCTGCTCCCAACAGCAGCAACCTCAACTTTATCTGCAAGAAATGCCCCAAACACAGCTGCCATGAGGCAATGCAGAAATAATGCTTCCTCAGGGCAGACCTTCACAGGCAAATCTTACCTTCTTCTCTGCAGCAATAAAAAAAGCAATAGAGAGAGGACTTTGGAAGTAAGGTATTTACAAACAGCCTTTTTTTTTTTTTTTTTTTTTTTTTTTTTTGTGGTGGTGGGTGGTGGTGAGGGAGGGCTGGACTTTTGGGGTAGTTATTGCCTTTTGTGCTCAGGCTGGAGGGAAATGGTCCTTCAGCATCTATTCTAATGTGCTCATTTATCTAGTGGTAGAAGAGCTGTGGGTAAATGGGGCTGAGGTCTAAGGCATAAAGAAATGTCTGCCAGAAAGAGATGTTTTAGCAGGTTAATGAGGAACTTGGTAACAGCCTGACAGGGTCATTGCAAATCACATTTCTTTTTTACTGAAATTACTTTAGCCTTTTGAAGCCACAGGAAAATATTCTGCTACTTTACAGAGATATTTCACTGAATTTAAAATAGTGTAGATAGCATGTTATTTTTGAGTATTTTTAGCAGATGTACAGGGAGAACAAAAAGGCATGAAAATGTGCATCTCCTCTAACCAACGCCACAGCCAGCAGGCCAGGGGAGGACTGAGGGCCCAAATGCTGTCAGCTCAGGTTTGCTGCACCCAGGTTTTCTCAGGAGAGGCTGCAAGGTGCCCCTTCTCTTGCTGAAAAGCACTAGTGCCCAGTGGCTGCTCCTGTGCCATGCTATAGCCAGGTGTGAGCAAAACTTCTCCGGTTCTCCCACTGCTCCTGAAAAATCACCTCTGACAAACAAGAGGCGTGACATTTATAAGTCAGCTTCTCAGCTGGATGACCTAATGATTCATCGGGGAAGCAGGTTTATGTTGCCATGCAGGAACTGGGACTCTTAAAAATTAATTGTGGCACAACTGTTTACTCTAGGAAAACATTATTAACTTTCACTCACCATTTCTCCTCTTCAACTTGAACTCCTATGGACTGGAACTTACTAGTTGCTTTGTTTTCAACTGATTTGGCAGATTCTTCAGCACCATCAACCTTAAAAAGCAAAACGAAAAACAACAAAGCACCGCAGCTCATTAGAATGTATTTTGGCAGGGATATCACCTGGCTGCTTACAATTTCTATGCACGATCACTACTAAGTGTCTGTGCATATGGCTTGTACCATAACTACCTTCATCCACTTGGATATCTTATCTCTGGTATGCAGTTTCTGTTCATATTAGTGAATATTACTCATTCTTGTTAATCTGTAAAGCATTTCAGTTAAGACAACGTTAGGCCTGAGAAATGCAGGTGGGGTTTATCCAGTATTTTGTGGAGACTGGATGCTCAGATTTGCCAGAGCCTCTGAGCAGCTGGAACACTGCCTTGCTGCGCTGCACCATTTGTTTGATTTCACCTGTTAGTTTGCACCTGCACATGTAGGTAAGTCATGTCAAAATGATGAGTTTACTTTGTTTAAATGTCAGTGTCCCTGAATCAGAGCACTGTACAGGTAGGATATGAAGAAAGTAGATATCAGAGGCATTTTCTCTGCTGCTCTACTGTGCAGGCAGGAGGTCCCTAGGATCACAAGCAGGAACTTTATATTGCCTCTGTGAGAACCAATAGTATGGCATTGAAGTTTAACCACGGATGTACCTTTGAGAAAAATCACAAACTTCTGGGTCCAGCCAGTGTAGTTCCTAATTCCAGGTGCTGTATATGAGATTGCTAGTCATACCAAAACAAACAAACAAACAAAACAAAAAAAAACACACACACACAAAAAAAACACAGCAAGTTTGGAGCACAGTGACCTGTGAACCTACTCTGACCCCAGATGTACAAGATCTCCAGATGTACAAGATCTCCAGCTAGCATCTCCTCTACTGGCTTGCTGTTGAGAGCAAATTCAACAGCCCTGTGCAGGAAATGTGATCAAGGAGTTTCAGAACTGTTCAGTGATGTAAAGTACTTACTGGATGTTGAAGCTTTTTGGGACCTAATTCCACCTTAAATAACATAACTGACAGCGAGAGTTAACCTTTTTGATGGTAGGTTTCTCTTTGTTTTACTTTGCTTGTTTGTTCAACAGATTTACAGCAAAGGCTTGTGGTGACCTAAGAGCAACTGAGAGGTGCAGAGGACACACCAGGAGGTTCACCACAAGTGCATGTTCGGTTTATTTATTACAGAAGGAGGCAAACCTCAGTCTAACGTGGCTTGCACTGCTCCACAGAGATGAGCCAAACTATAATGAAGATGTTTACCTGCTCTGAGTTCAGTCTAAGGCTGAGTGAAGCTCCCATTGCAGTCAGGAGAGGGAGGCTGACCATCCCCAGGCACCTTTCATGGAGGGGTTGTGATTACACATGTCAGCTCTAAGTTTCAGAATTTTAGCAGGAGATTTTCAAATGCTTGAACAGTGTTTGGGACTATGTTTTCCTCAAATGCCAGGAAACTGGGTCTCCTGTGACTCTCAAAAGCTGCATTCTTTACTTGCAGCAACACTACCTTCGGAAGAGACAGCTGGGAAATGGTGTCTTCGGAACCCCGGTTCACGTTACAGCTGTTCATTTGGGCTTCTGCGAATGTGGAAATTATTTCTTTCTACCTGTTACTTCATCTGCAAAGGGTCTTTGTTGCTTTGTTCAGTGAAAGGAAGGATCACAACAATAACAGAGAACCTTTGCCTTGGCTGGGCATAGGAATAAGTAATAGAGTTTTCCTTTATCCTTATCCCACCTGGATCTTGCCCCTGTGTTTAACACTGAACTTTCAGAAGTCCTTCTTTCAGAATATATCCAAAACAAATGGCTGTGAAGCACAGAAAGGGTACAGTAAACTGATTCCACAGGCAATAGTTAACCATTGCCCTCCCAAGAAGAAGTTAAAAGGAGTAAAGACACCACTTCTCTAGGAGCTGCCCCTGGGATGACATAGTTCTGCTCAGCGCCTCCCATCTCATCAGGCAGATGCAGAGATTTCATGGTAAATTCTAAGGCTTTGCAAATCAGATAAGCCTGTCCAGGCACAGAGGAGGTTGTAAACACAATCTCCATCTGCAGGAAAAAAATAATGTTTTCTTGGGAAGGCCTGATAAGCTATGGATTGCTATTCTGTTTGTTTGGGACTCATCTCCCATCAAAACCTATGCTGATTCTCACTTGATTGTAAGTTCAAGTACTTTGTTGCAAGAGCTAATCCTACAAGCAGATAGTTGGCCTTCTATGCACATTCTTTTTTATTTATTTATTTATTTTTGAGGGGGAAGTGAGGGTGGGTATGGGAAAGATTAATTAAGATAGGAGATTAAATTGGTCTAGTTTGTTTGCTTTTCTCCTTTTTGTAAATACAAGTCAACTTTGGCAGGGTTAGTTTTCTCATTTCATTCCACTAGAGGTAAAAAAAAAAAAAAAGTGTAATTTTCTTTAACAAGGGCAAATCAGAAGGAACTTATGCCTCTGCTCTTGAGTCTGAGATAGGAACAATGCTGCCTCATTCAAGCGGCCACCAGTCATTATGAAATGCATGAATAAGCAGTGACAATTAATTCAGTGAGGCTGGACAAAAATATTTTGGGGGTGATAGTGTAATGTAAATCATTGTTTTACACATTCCCTTTCAATGATTTAATTCATGCCTTTCTGACCCCTGCTGTGTTATGATTCATAGATTAGTGCTCATGTGTGTAATTTAACAGAGCTGAATAACAAGCGGCAAGGAGACTTAAACAAATCCTTGCGTCTGATGTTTTTATGATAAATTAGTAAAACATCATTAGTACCATGTGGCATGATTAAGCTGCTGGAAATTCTACATAGGCACCTGTCAGGAAAACAAGAAAAACACACAAAACATTGTATAACAAGCAGTAAAACAAGTGTAGAAACCCCAAACAGTGGTGCACATATAATCCAAGTCGTGTACCATACCTGTATTCCAATAGATAAGCATCTGTTTTTCTTGAAGTGGTCCTTCTTTCTGTCTTCTACTGCAACAGTGGCAATGGTTGTGGTGGTGGTGACGGTGGCAGTATTGTTTCCTACGTGTTGACTTGCTGGGCCATGGATCTGCGCGTTAGCAGCTTCAATGGCAGCTGTTAGTGCCTTCATACTGTCCAAGCTCTCTGTGGAGTTGCTAAGTCCAGACTGACTGATGATATCTCCCCTCTGTCCATGCCCATCCATGTATGCATCCTGGGCAGACTCCGTGCTGCTCTGGGCCGTGATGGAAATAAATGGTTTGGTGGTTGTTCTTGGTGGGACTGGAGGCGGTGTCTTCTTATAGGTGGTAATGCAGGATGACACTGGAAAAAACATATGAGGGTTCTTGATTTGTTGACATTGCAGGGAAAATGTATGCAAATATGATCTCAAGACACCAGTAAGCATGAGGAGAACAGAAATAAGGAGAATGCTGGTTAGCCAAAGAGCCCCCAAAAGCTCCAGTGACAGCACTATGGAAATACCCCACTTATCAGTGTCCTCTACTCATGTCCTCTCACAGTAGAGGGAAAGAAAAGATCTATTTGCCAAGTTCCTCCTTAGCCTTTTAGGACTGTGTTCTCCAGACTGTTTGCTTCTAACTCTTCTAAGTCAACCAGTAGAGTCAACAAGTCATTCCACCAAAATGTATGTTCTGGGCATAGCTTCCAGACAGGACACACAAGGATCAGTCTCCAATCACATAACCTGCTAATGTGTACTTCATGCAGTTTTATTGCAATTTCTTTTTTTTTTTCTCTCTCTACCCTGTCCCACTGTATTTACTTATACATTTATTTATTAAATAATTTAAAAACTGCATTTCTTTGTTCAGAGACACATCCCAAAGCTATCCTAAGTAAAAGACTGTTAACACTCGTCATGCTTGAACTTGTGTATTTCATGCCATAAATTGCTCACTTGTTGCACAGACTTCTCAGGTACTTTGAAATGTTTTGTAAGCTGTGGAGGGCATGTTTAAAACAACATTTTGCTGTTGATATGTCTCATAATAAATGTAACATTTTGTTTCTACGAAAAATGCTTAATTTTACACAAAAGGAGTTAATGTAATGAAGCCAATGGCTAAAGCCTGTCAGTGGGACTACTTAAAGAAAAGCGTAAGTATAAATGTTTGAAACAAGAGAGACTTCAAAAAAAGTTTATAAGGACTCCTCTTCATATTTTGAAGGTCATTGTAAATGCTTCTATATGGATTTAGAAGCACAGTTTGAGGTTCCCACATTAGAAACTATTGGCTGGTGTTTACAGAATTACATGCAGAAAGCACTTCATGGAGATAAAAACATCTTAATTTAAGGGATAGTTGGCAGCTTTGCAGTGCTGAAGTCCTGGAATGCTTTCAAATGAGGAAAGAAAGTCCATTAAGAACAAAACCCAATGATGATATGTTCTATTTTTTAAGCAAATAAATGCAGGCATTAACCTGTGCAAAGTTCAGACACAAACACGTTAACATAAATTCTTATTAACAGTAATCATATGGCAAGAAATGATTCATTTTAACTGGCAGACGTCTATGCCACCCACATAAAAGGTAAGTCTGCTACAGCTGTTCTGCTCTCTGTTTGCACTGTACGTGCTTGTTGAGCCAGAAGCCATTATGGTATTAATTTGACTAGCTCAGATCCATATGCCTCATATCTCCCGATACCTGCACGAATACTTACAGTGTAAAAGGTGTTTCCAGGGCATGAAATCACACAAGATTTTTTTTCTAAGGATTCCGGTGTAAGTTTCTGATAACATGTCTGAACCCATGTTAAACATGTTAAATGCTAATGGAAAAAGAGTATTTTGCTAAGGTAGCGAGGGTTTTGAAGCTATGATTCAGTTCTGAAGAATCAAACAGAAACCACAGCATCTTGGAGAGAATACACGGCTAAAAATGAACTTGTCAAATTTTGACTCCTGGGAAGTGAATAGTTTATAGAGGTTAAAGGTGCTTTTTTAATGTGCTTATGACAAAAGGCATCCGTGGAACTAACAGGAAGGATGACAATTTTACAAAGAAGGTTGTGAATTTTATGCAGTTCTTCATGTGTTTGGATGCTGCCAAAAAGCCCTTGTGGTGACTGTGCACATTCAGGTAAATCATCTGTTCTTGTTGCAGAATTATGGAGAATTGCGGAGGCTGCGTCTGGGCAATAGGATCCCAGAAATGATCCAAGTGGCTCATGGTCTGGAGAAATGTTCTCCGAGTGGTGGAGACGCAAACTGAAATTCACCACTGAAGAATTCAAAGCTTATAACTACACAATCATATACCCAGGTAATACCATGATGATCCTGTTCCAAACAGAGGTTTGCTACAGCCATGCTACATTGCAATTCAGCAAAGTATTAATTGCCCCATTTAAAATACAGTTGGTAAGGTCATTGTGGAACTACTGAGGAGACAGCAGCACCTTCAGGACATCCCTGCAAGGCAGGTAGGCATCATTTATCCTACTTAGCAGATAGGGGAATGATAATGAGACCCCCAAAGTGCTCTTAAGTCGGAGAGAGGGCTGTAAGAATAAAAATCAAGCCTTAACAAGGCTAGTCCCCACATCGCTGGTCACCCCCAACGAGTGAGAGAGTCAATAGCAACTGTTTATCGACAGCTACCCGGCACTCTGGACACTGCAGTACAAATACAGAACCCCCCGATTAAGTTGTCTTTCATTCTGTTGGTAAACGTACTCGACGAGGAGCCTAATCCACACGGCAGTGAAAGATGTTTGCACTCAGCTAATTAAGTCTGAAGTTATTCGTAAGAGGGGGAGAGGATTGACAACTCATACGGTGAAATTGTAAAGAGAAACAGCGAACGTTGTTTCAGCAAGTCAAAACAAATCCTCGGTTTCCTGGAGTCACGCAGCACGTACTGTACGGCTCCGGAGAAGCAGAGTGTGCAACTCATAAAAGAACCCCAGGCACTTCATTACTGGAAACGATGCAAGCTCCTGCCACTCCTTGGCAGGAACGACAACAAAACAATGCTCGGGCTGCAGTCAGAGGCAGCTGCTCGCTCAGTGTCGGGAGCTGGCTGCGCCCCTCCCAGCGGCCGGAGCACTGCAACAAAAAGGATTTGGTGCATCAGGTTTCTCCAGAGCTCTTTCAAGAGCCCAGCAACGTGTGACATGGCGACCTGAAGGACCTGACAGGTTTTAAACTGGCTACGGTGCTTTCAGTGCTAGGATGCCTGAAGAAGAATGGGAGTACTCTCCAAGGTAAAGGACAAAACCCCAGTGCTCTCCTTGTGCAGCCAAGATCCGAGTGTTTGGAGGGTGCAGGAGGAGGACCTCGCCTTGTGCTCTGTTCCTGCAGGCAAGGGGGAAGTGCTTCCATCCAGCTCCGGAGGGGGACTGCTGCGTGGGAGGATGCTGATGGAGAAGATTACAGGATCACGGGATGCGCAGAGAAGATAGGGAAATCCTCACTTCACACACAGGGAACATTCAAGGGGTTTTGCACTTGAAAGTTAGTTTAATTCACACCAGGAAGTGAATTTAAAGGGCTCTATAATTCCCTGATAAATACATTCTTGGACATGGATCAAGGAGCGAGGTTCTGTGCTCAGACTGATCTGACTGGAGAGTCGAGTCAAAGGAGTCTCATTTGTCATTATAATTGCTTAGGCATGGAGTTAATCAGAAATAATTTTTTCTTAATAGCAAACGTGAATATGAATCCTCAGTCTGTCACAACATAGAGTAGCTTTCTGTATTATTTTACAGAGCACACTTGCTGCCAGAACAGGTATACATTCCTCTCCTAGGGCAAGGTTTGATCCAAGTTAAATCATTTGCAAGAAAACTCTGACTCCCGAAGCACCTTGAGTCAGTCCCATCTTTCCCAGCTGTATCAACCCACTCAGTAATGCTCTCCTTTCTGTTTTGATCTTTATCCTATTTCTGTGGCCTGATTTTGGGTTACAGTTTAATCCCAAATACCTAGTGAAAAAGCACTTTCTCCAGATTAGGAAAAAAAAAAGTTACGGTGTTTGTCCTCCTAGCCAGTATTTCCAAACAACTAGCTCATGAGAGAGGAATTTGGAACAGGGAGTGTCAACCACCCAGTTCAGAAGGAAGTCTAATGATAAAAAAAAAATAATCCCAGATTGCATAATAATAAAGGCCTGAATTTGAATGTTTCATTGTAAGAGCACTTCAGTTGTTTAAACACGCTCGCTAGGGAGATGAGCCCTCAGGAACAAACACCAGCACGCAAACGCAGAGTTTTAGCTCGGTGGATGGGTGCTCAGGAGAACCCCAAGGCAGACTAACATTTGCAAAGAGATCAAATTCACACAGTGCTTTGAGCGGTTCAGGTGATGAGATATGTGAGCAACATCTTTCCATCTCTGATTTGGCAGGCTCATGTAAACATGGCTAACGAATACAAGAATAAATGAGGGTGCAAATTTAAAGTCAATTAAAATAATGGCGCTTTTCATGAGAAAAATGACTATTTCCACAGTTTGAAGAGAACAGCAAAAAACACAGTGTGTACACAATTAAGTAATAAGGTACAAGGTAAAAGGTCCTCAATCGTGTACAGATGGACTTAATCCTTCTGATTTAATGCCTGTTAAAACGGTATGTTACAGCACTACACTTGCATCTCAAACAGCTGCACCACAAAGCAGGGATGCAGGCACATCCTTGCAGAGCTGAGACATTGAGCTGCAGTTCCTGGGCTCCCCATGCAGAGTAGTGGGGCTTGATTTGGCTAGGTGCGCTCAAATGGAGCTGTTATTCTCCTTACCATGCACCTATTTCTCTGCTTTGTTAAGGTTGAGGGGGATAGGGGTGTGAATGCTTGGAAATGGTGTTTTAGACTCTGTATCGTTATTTGCACATGCAAAAAGTTGGTATGAAAATGGGGCATCTGTTTTCTTAATAAAAAAGCTATTCTCAGGTAGCAGATGGCTTCTAAGGAAACAGAGATTTACCACTAAAACTAAACCGAAATAAAGATTTTCATAAGAAGTTCAAGACTGCCCAAGGGAATAATACTGAAGTGAATTACGGATGTCATTATCCCAAATGAGAACTACTGAAATCTTTGTATCATGCCATCAGGACTTCTGCCAATGCCATGCTTTTTCCCTATCCCCACTACTGCCAAGCCATATATCTCAGCCGACAAAAGCCTAAGATACGCTGGCTTTGGAAATAGGCATAACTGGTAACTAAAATCCTGCAGAAAACTATACAAAGTATGTAAACTGTCTTCAGTGCACACAGTAGCACCACAGTGCTAGGAGATAACACCCCAACCACCCTGAGGTCTAAAAGCTTGTGCTGGTGGCCAT